GAATGTCTTTTGAAATTGGGCAACGGCAGATTTCATTTGGCATTCTCTATAACGATCTCAGTGACAATGCCACAGTTAGTGGAGGATACCATTGTAAACTTCATTGGGCGGGCCATAAGATATGCATACAGTCCCAAATCCTGAGCACGACTGGTAAATCAGGAAGAGGATGACGAAGTAAGATGAGAGATGAAGACAGGAAGGTCAGCAGTGAAGAGAAAGAGCTTTGAGAGACAAAGCACCTGACAGACAGCAACAGGTCCACCAGTCACACAGAACAGCTGAAGAGGCAAGGCTCATAGGGAGTGTCGCCATTGTCATTCAGCGGGACCACACACTGGGGGGTTTGGCCATGCAAAACTGCAGTAGGGACACATCAATAACCCGGCTGTGTCTTTGCATCAGGGATATATGTGGGCAGTGGGCAGGCCTCCAGCTTCTCATCGAAGCAGCTGTCTTAACCAGCGATGACCATCCCTTTTCCACCCAGAACACAACAGCCCCCTGAGCAGCTCCACATCCCTCATCTACACCTCTGGCTCTGCCCACCACGACAATGAGGATGATCTGAAAGAAAATTTTAAAACTGGACAACTAGAAAAAATGTACAGGTTAATCAATATTTGCTGACGAACACTTTCTTCAGCGGCACTGACTTCACAGTGTCTGGGTAAGAAGTCAGGAGGAACCTTGTAATGAGATGACAGAACTACTTCCTTGGTTTGAAGTTGAGTGTAGAACTTCAGTATAAATCCACATACAGAACCAAGAACAGAGACCAACACCGGCAATAAATGAAGCGTGATTACAGACGCCAAACCGCCCAGGACCTTGTTGAAGTTGGGCCACTATCCAACTATAAGCAGTACTGCATCAGCACAAATTTTCCTTATCAAATGATACATTTTGTCCCCCTACAAATTACCGAAGAAAAGCGTTTAAATATATTGGCAGTTAATCAAAGTACTTGTGAAACGGAACCTTGACCTGGGCTTGACAAACTTAAACCTGCCTCTTACTGCTGAGCCTGAGTTGTGCTGGCAACTTATTTACATTATTCTAAACACCACTATCGCGTCAATCGATACATTCGACTACAGGTCTTCCATGAGCCTTCATAGGCAAATAACGACCTGTAGCAGTTTAATAAGGCATGAAGTCACACGGTCATTGCACATTCAGATACACCAAACATACATCAATCACTAAAAGATATCAATTCACAGAATAGTTGGTCTTGGCATTATCCTAACACTCTGCCAGCTGACTAGACAAAACATATAAACAGAAACAGGCTGAGGGTCTTTAGGAGACAGACCAACACAAGCTAACCATTTAGGGCTACAGGATTCCAAAATCTGTTGGTTTACACAAAGACGTGCGACTGCTTCTATATAGGATCCAGGAATAAATAAGATTTAAAAAAAAAAAAAAAACACACACACATATAATCACAAGCTCAGGTCCCAATTTGCAAGCTCCACAAAGTCAGCTAGTCTGTGTTCTCCAAAGACTAGCATCCTGTCCAGTGTGTACCCCTCGCCTTGCGCTGTATGCTGTGGGGATAGACTCCAGGTTTCCCACATGACTCTGGTCAGGATAACGTTTAGAGGACGGATTATTCTTTGGCTTCTAAACACTGAGTGATCAAAGATAGTTTGCTTTCAGGAGTCCCATGGAAGACCATACCTTAATTTCAAGTAGGGTGACATTTTTCTATTATGGGTCTACAATGTAGGCCACGCCACTTGATAGGATTTTGTTGCATTCCTGAAGCAGGCTATCACACCTCTAAATTTGAGTGCCGAGGCAGCTCATTATTTTTAGCAATGTCATTCTGCCATTATCTCCCCATTTTCCAGCAGATGTGTATCTCCCAAGTTCCACTCAGAACAGCAGCTGCACAAGGCTGTCAGCACGCATGCATCCAAAACTAAAGCCTATGACGTTTATTTAGCAGATAGTTTTGTTCAAGATGACACGCAATTGAGAGAGTAGGGTTAGGCAGTCCCCGAAGCAAAATCCCAGTCGGGTGTCTTGCTCACAGGCCCAGCAGTGAAATCACTCTGCCAACCATGAGATTTGAACCAGTAACCTTCCAATCACGGGCAAAGGGGCCAAGCCCACAGAGCCACAGACCGCTCCCCTTACAAGGAGCACATAGAAGTGGGTAGTTAACAGGGTCCTGCTCATTCAGTCATGCAGAAGGTTAACCAATGAAGGAAATTTCTCAAAGTCAAAGGCAAAACTTGGGGAAATAAAGCTGTTCAGGAGAGGATCGGATTCCTGTTCTCACCGACTGATGCATAGGTGAGACCATCAAATGGCGGGATGGTGCCAAGGCCTATAAAATTGCCTCTAAGTGCGGCAGGGGTAATGGCTGTGGTTTATGGTTTACAGTGTCAGCAGCTCCTTCCTCAAGGTGCCCTGTCGCTTTCTAAAAATATCAAACATCTTCAGACCCAGTGTCTCTATCTCACTCCCTCTCGCTCTCCCTCCCTCCAGAGCTGGCAAAGTAGTGTTTTTATACTTTACTGCACCGTAACGTAAAACACAGAAGTTAAACGCTGGAAATTCGGACTCTAATTCCGGTTTTTGGTACATATTTTGAAATAAAAAATATAACAGCTAGAGTACACCCTGGATGGGATGACAGTCTATCGAAGGGCTAATGCAAAGTGTAAATTTATACTTTGATCACGTTCACCAAAATCCAAGGTATGGAGGGAAACACAAGCAGCGAGCAGCCCTGAGGACAGGCAGATTCCATACAACCAGAACTTAGTTACTCCTAGGACAGGATGGAGAAAATCAGCTGGGGTTAGAGCACTACCCAAATAAACAAGCTTTTTTTGGAGGGGGGGTTCTCCAAAGACAGGAATGCAGCAAGAATAAAACTTCCTTTTTAAACAACAGCTGGTAGTTAACCCATGTTTGACAGAGTACATCTTCAAAACACACTTTTGGTCGCACGCTGCGGCCAGTTACACTCGAGCGCGGTATCAGGGATAAGCAAACGTGGGTCGGCAAGGATAGGCAGACACACACGGGTCCGACTGCTGCTTACACCGGGCCAGGGCACCACAGTGTCTACCAAAAAGGGGGTAAAGCACAAATAAAAATGACAAACACACCCCAGTATCTTTATGCTGTCCCATTTCCCTCACTTATCCAAGACCAACTCCCTGTGTCACACAGTCAGTTTAGTGAAGCAGCCCATCATCTCTAAAGATATCTCACAGAAAATGCTGAGGAATCCTAATTAGAATTAAGGAAACACTCACATGCTGCTGTTTTTTGGCCGGGGGCAGCCGGCCACCCCACTCTTCTTGTGCTGGCTAAGAGAGCCTCCCATCTCGTCTGCTCAACAGTGTCCCAGTGCAGCAGGCACATAAACACTCTTCATGTCACACGCACACGCCGAGTCCCGGTGTCCAGGCCTGCCTACGCTCCAGCCGGCAACACGGGCGTCTTCACTCTGCTGCAGCAGTGCTGCCGCCCTACCAGGTCCTTCACTGGTCCCTGCCTCTGTCTGCCCGCCTCCCGTTCCAGCTCAGGCACTCCCCTCACACACACCCGGGGAATTACTGCATGCTCCAGCGGGCCACCAGACGAGAAAACCTGCCTCCAGAGCCGCAGCCTGGAACAGCCCTGAAGGCGTTTCCTTAGTTACACGCTGCCCTGGTGACGGCAAGATACAATATCTGCCCCCAAGTTTGCCTGCATTTGCCTGGATGGATCCCATGCACATCAGCATGCAAGACAGGGAAGTCACTCAAGGAAGGCATCACGCTCAGTAGGGGACACTGGCTAGTTCAGGGACCCCTGCTGACTTGGAGCTCGGGGGTCAAACTACAGAGACTCCACACACTCACCCACACAATGAGAACAAAAGGGTCAGGGCCTGGTTTCAGCTGGGGGGGATTATTGTGAAGAGGAAGAAAAGGGAGGCTTTGTAGAGCACATCATATGTATAATAGAACTACATTCTTTATAAGCAGAGCTGCCTACATTTTGTCTTATGAGCAAGACCGTCACAGTCAATTGTAAAAGATGGAAAAAATGCATAAGAAATGGCCACAAGGTAAAATATGAAGATTTAATTTAGCTAGCTGCACAATTCTGCTCCACCATAATGTAGAAACCTGTATTGTGTTTAACCCCAAATGCAACTGGGTTTCCACCCCCCAGTCCGTCGTCAGTATTCCAGCAGACTGCAGAAGGATGGGGGTTTTGGGGAGGAGCTGGTTAAATTTGGAAAAAATGAACATTTTTGTATGCCTCGAACCCACGCGCAGTCATCAAAAGGTCAGGAACCCCTACTTTACAAGGATGAAGTTCAGCCAAGTACAACAGTAAAGGAGGTTAACGTCCAGCTTGTTTCAGGAGTTCATGTGGTATGGAAGATGGATGACAGAAAGGTCTCTCAATTTCCCACTCTGATTTAACAGGCATGAGCCGTCCAGGAAACTCTGCAGACCTCCAAGATAACACACTGCAACCATTAACACTGATATTTGTGCCTTCCATGGCATATAAACATAATATTATGGAATCAGGGACCTTAACCTACAGGTCACTGGTTGATTGTGTAGGCTAGATGAATATTTTAATTGCAATCCTAAATATTTCTCCTGTGCAAGATTTAACTAACTGAGATGGGTTTATAAGACACTACAATGCATAATCTCTAACTTCCAGTAAAATCTCAGGCTGTACGCCTTTTTATAAAGCTGTTATTTAATGAAGCAGACTTGATTTGCACTACCTTCAGCAATCCTGGTTTTGGAGGTATAATTAATGTCCCATGAACCTTCAAACCAGACAAGCTCAGCTAAGACACTGATCCCATTAGTTCAACATTATCCTTACAAGCCCATCAACACCATTCAAACATTAATACGGCAGTTCTCCCACAGCAAAGAAACAGGAGCAAAGTTATTACACAAGAGACAAAGGCGGAGCCCCAATGCTACCATGTGAGGCGTGAAATTCACTACCTTCGCTTAACACGGTAAGATGGAATACCGCGGGTGGATGTCGACTACGGGGAAGCAGAACCAAACGTGTCTCAGGCCATCAGAGAGATAACCAGCCAAGAAACTCGTGCAAGCACCGGTGATCGAGTTCCATATGACTTTTAAATACAATTTTACCTTAAAATAACTTTTTATACACACAATTGTGATAACAGTTCAAGTTCTGCTTGTTGGCTGACTTCAGTTTAACTAAACGTCTGTTCCAAATAAGTCATGACGTAACTGCTTCACGTGGACGCTCTTCACCCTAATAGCCTCCCTGCGATGGGAACAGCTCGATTTGGTTCAAAGCAGCCATTTTTATCGCGCGGCATTCTTTAAGTATAAATGGATGCCCAGGGGGGTTAAAGACGCATTTTAGGTGGTTATCAGCCACGTTAGATTTAACTGGAAACATAAAAATCAGGTCCAGCAGATCAAGTACAAAGTCTCTAAAATGGATACAAGAGTAGTTTTCATTCATTTTGTAGGACTGACCTCACGGTCCGACGCCGTGTTTTGCTTTTTTTTTTCATTCCCCCCCCAAAAAAAACAATGTCGTTAATGTTCCTACCTTTAGGGGGGATTAGGGGAGTATTAGTCAATTAACTTAATTTGTGCGTGAACAGTGTTGATTCTAATTAAACCGCCTGGTTGTTTCGCCTTACGATTAACCTCTACAACAGCAGTTTGGAAGGAACTACAAGTCAATGAAAAAAACATAAACGGAAAACTTTGAGATGTTACAGATTCCTGAAAATTCACTTACCGTCCTAAACATAATGCAATAAAATCCTGACCAGTTTAAATGGCTCTGACGGAGGAACAATCAAAAGCACCCCCCACCTCATTAACACTGTTGTATACTACTAATGATAATTATGCAAGTAATGACAACTTGGCGGAGGTCTATGAAAATACGATACCTTATTTCGCATTAGTTTTGCACATAGATTCATGCGCGACTATGCGCGTAGACTTGCTTAATTTCGTTCAATTTATCGTTCCACATGGGAACCGAGGTCTTTGAAATCCTAAAAAAGTACAATATTATTTTGCACAGTGACAGTCTAATAAACAAAAGACTGGTAATGTAATCGACTAATTTAAATACTCTGCCATTATTCTGCTTAATCGTGGTATGTAGATGGATGTACAGTTTAGATACAATTGGAGAATTACATTGTAGGACGTAACATAATCCCTCACTGACTTTATGCAATGTGTAATCTGCACTTGACAGACCCCAAAGAAATGTAGATAACATAATGTGTGACGTCGTTACTTACTGTTATCATAAAATTAATTTACAAACACCAGAAAAGACAGACATGCTATGGTTACGTTTATTATGGCATTCACAATACGTAAACATACTGTTTGATACATAAATACAAAATAATTTTCTTGTTTCCAAATCAAAATAAAGTGCACATTGTTGCTGCTGAAATAGAGAGGCAGTTCCACTGTGGAGTCACTTTGTGCTTCTGTTATATGTAAAATCTTAAACTTGTTTGATCCCAACCATTACAGGAACTCATTTATTTTGGTAGCTCCAGAGCAAGCAATTTGGGAATTAAAATGATTTGCTAATATCTGTATGAAATATAAGGCTTCAAGGACTTGGTCATCCCTTAATTAAGAGGCAAAAAATGTGTGTTCGACAGGATATGCCTGGGAAATTTATTATAGTACAATGTGATAGTCATCAAATTACACCTATCCTGAAAATAAATATACCACAGTCAAAAGTAAACTGAGCATATGACAACTGGAGTTTCATACGAAGAGACCAAACATCAATGTAAAGCAAAGGCTGGCCTTTTCTCTGAGACGGGCTTCTGTAACACATACACTGAATGGAGTCGAATAGGACACACCAGTCATTCATTCCTACAACGTCCATGTTAAAATGCTCCAGCTGAATAGCAGTTTATGACCGGACTCCATAGTCACAGCACCAGATCGGATCAACACAAAATTACGCATAATCAGACCCCAAAGAGTTATGCAGGTTACTAGACGCCCTACTCAGGGTGAGTCTTATTCTGTAACAGCAGAGAGCAAGACCCTAACAGTAAACAAAAAAGGGTTTTCTTTGTGCTTCTGAAGGGCTACTCTGTGAAATGGCTCACACGATTAGCCAAAAATCCTTCATCACCCAGCCAAAGGGGCATAGCAGCAAGTTCTTGTCCTCAAATGGCAATAGAGGGGTAGATATGGAGGGAACTGCTGTCTTTCCTCTCTGGATAATGTAAAACAGACAGGTAGCAGACACAACAGTCACTGTTAGAAACACCCTTCATTAGCATTCACTTTATTTTATGCTAAGCATAAGCTTACTTCCATAAACACAAAGAAAACCATTTTTAGCGGCATGAGATATTTCTGTGCATTTGAATGCAGGACAAAAGGATCGAGTGGAACAGAGCTGCATTTTTTTCTGGGTTAATGGAACAGCGAAATTTGTCAGTCTTTGCAGGAGTGATGGAGGCAAGTCACAATGGCAGTTAGCATGCTCCAGCTCCAGGATGTGCAAAATTAGCATATCATCCTATACAACATAAACATCAATAAAAATAATTTAAACTTAAATTAAAAGAAGATAAGTTTGCAGGCAGGTTATAAACTTACAAGCAGACATTCCCTTTGAACAGGCTGATGGTCCAATAACAGAATGATCATAGAAGATTCCACAACCCAATGTGTCAATGGTGTGAATCCCATTAATCAGTTTCCATTGATCTGAGAAACAGATGTCTGCTGGGTTCCAGATCTTCAGCTTCAGACGTCAAGCAGCCGTTACCAGCCAGGCTCGGTGCGAGCATTTACTTCGGCAAAATGTACAGCCAGTTCCCCGAGAACACAGCTAAGTCCAAGGTGTCTCCATCCATACTACGACTGAGGCTGTTCCAAAACGACTCCCAGTTTTTCATAGATCTCCTTCAACACCAGCAATGCAGTATCTTCAGATTCCCTGCAGAAGTAGTCATACAGAGTTTTTGTGGTTGACTTGACACATTCGGGACAGCAAAACCAAAGTTTGACCTCACTGAGATCTCTGATTTTTTATTTTTATGCTTTGAATCTGGCTTGTTAATGAGCATGTAGAATTCACCGTTAGTGACATGAGGACCTCTTAGAACATTCTTCAGTGACTCACCAGTAGCAGAGGTGGCTCTGTATGGCAAACAGGTACTCATTAAAGCTCTCTATCGGTTTCTCCTGCAGCACGTAATCGATGCGCCGGCCGCCATTTAGCATCCCGATTTCGATGTTCTGCTCCTCAGTTTGTCTCTCTGAAGCGGAAGTTGCTTCTACTTCCTCCACTTTTGGACCTGGAGGAGTGGAAGCAGAAGCAGCCAAATTAAACCAATCATAATGCAAACAAACAACAAAAGGAGTTGAATTTTTGGGGAATGACAGAGCTGTATGTTTTTTCTGCCAACATTGACTCTGATTTGTTGATGCAAGCATGATCTTGTTTCAAAATTCATCTAGTAAAAACCACATTTTTATAGGATGGACCTGCAATAAGGCTTTGTCACAACATTTGTGTTTTCATATATCTAAAGAACTCCAATGAAAACACCATCAATCGCAACCGGACAAGTCTTCAAGGCAACAAACACAAATCCCCAATCCACTGTAGAGCGGACTGACAAATTTAATGCATTAAACTCATACACATGCTATAAAAACCAACCAAATAGCATCAAATGAACACTTTACATGAGAGTAAGCATGCAAGCAGCAAAGAGTGGACTGTAGCCACAGTGCAAAAGCAGACTGGCAGAATCCTAGCAGGAGAATGCGGAGATGATGCCTGCTCCTGCAACAGGGCTGCGTAAACAGACACACAATAGCTCAGGTGTCTTTTTCCCCCAACCATTTAAGCTTCTTGCCCCAACCAGGTAATTAAAGAAGACCTGCACAATGCCTCTTCCAAATGGCAGATGGCAGCATGCACTGATGAAGGTTGCCACAAACAGATGCTACGGAGAATAATTCCCATTGGTAATTGACCAATTAATGTTACACATTCATATGCTACAACAAACTTTACCTGTTTTATTGGGGTGTGGAATGTAGTACTTCAATATTTACATTTTACATACAGATGAAGAGCAAGACTGCAGGGACAGCAACAAAATCAGGAGCCCCCCCTTTCGGGTGGCTCTTATATCTGCAAAATACGTTAAGAAGTCACAAGGTGCTTGAGGGAAGTGACCCCCCCCCTGCCCCAGGAAGCTTAAAGGGTTTCTCATGAACAGGCTGTAAGGTCTGTATGTGAGAATGGGATTCACATACACTAATAATGTAGGCCTCAGACCGGAAGGACAGAGGAAGCAGGGGGGGGGGGGTGAAAAGCCGGGAGACCAAAAAAGCTGACAGAAAGTTGGAGGGAACTACACTTTATTTAAGCTTGAGCCAGCAAATTTCATCCAAAAGCATCCATCATGATAGATGATGTAATCTTCTGATAAAAATGTCATTTCTGATGGCCCTCGAATTTGACAGCATATTGGAAAATATTTGTGCAAGTTACACTTAAAACAATAAAGTTTGTTTATGGTAGAGCTGGGCGATATGGCCTAAAAATAAAATCTCAGATTTTTTCACAAAAAATCCGATTTCCGATTTTAATCGATTTTCCCCTCCCCTACTCAAAATCAAACTACAGATGACAAAAACGGTTCAAAACAAGTTTTAACTTTATTTAGCTTTTTTTTTTTTACTTTAGGGTTAAAGTGCAATCTGACAAGCCATAAAAGATGCTTGTAAGTGAGATGGCAGACGACGCCATTGTAAACAATTTTAGAAACTTATAAAAACTTTGAATGCTTTCTCTATAGCTTATTTTCAAACTGGCAACAACACAATACGCCCTCAACCTTATAAAAGTAATAAGTAATATTGTAATAATAATAGAAAAAAAACACACAATTTTATCATGTCAGCTTGGTATTAAGTAAATACTTTATGCCATTGGGCTTGACATAGTGCAAAAGAAAGCTTTTGAAAAAATGCCAGTGTTAAGAAAAATGAGGTACGTACTTCGGGTCTAAAACTTTTAGCATGTCAATGAATCCCAGCTTTTCCACAGTATGTATGGGCACCATATCTTTTGCACTATACATCGCGACAGCGTTTGCTATCGTCTTCCATCATGCCCGATTCTTATCATATGGCACATAGTTAGAAAATGTGTCAGGGACGGTTGCTTGCTTAACTTTGTTTGTTGTGCTGGTGCTGCAGCTATTTTCATTTCGCTGGGAGCGGCACTTCTCCCGCTCCGCTGCGTGCCTCTGCTTTACATGCTGGAATAAATTAGTCGCGCTGCTTCCTTTGGTTGCAACAGTTTTTAAAGTCTTTGCAACGAGGACTTGTTTGGTCTGTGTCCGACCTCGCAAAACCGAACCAATTCCATATTACAGATGTTGCAACACTTTTCTTGGGCACAAGCGCCAGCTGTTCCCCTGTCATTGCCATGTTGTTAGTGAATCTGCTACAGTGTTTGGGTGCGTCGCGCTAATTTACCCGTGAAGAATGGTGCGTCGCATTAGTTCCGCTTTTGGCACTCGTGTGTAAAAAAAGTAATAAAATCGATTTTCATGAAAACACATCGTCCTGAACTGTAAATTCGAATTAATCGATTAAATCGATTTATCGCCCAGCTCTAGTTTATGGCAGAAGTTTTCTATGCCAATCATTATAATAAATGCCACCCTTTGTGAAAAATAAACTTAGATTTTCTTAAATAAAGCATCTCCCGTAGCCAGGTGAGAGACAGTGGGAATAAAAATCCAACAGCAACACAGTGTGACGAGTTACCTGGCTTACCTTGAAAGTAACTTAAATTAATCACTTTAGGCCACTCCATAATTTTTTTCCAAAAGTCTGTCTTACAGTCTGTCCTTCTGACAGTGCCTTTTCCGGCTGAGCAAAGAGGGCAAAGTCAGCCACAGGCACCGCAGACAGCCGTACGCATGTTATACGTAGAGAGGAGAGACGAATTAGGAACAGGCTGACAGGATCAGCCACATACAGGCCTGCTACAGTTAGGAACAGGCTGACAGGATCAGCCACATACAGGCCTGCTACAGTTAGGAACAGGCTGACAGGATCAGCCACATACAGGCCTGCTACAGTTAGGAACAGCCTGACAGGCTGACAGGATCAGCCATATACAGGCCTGCTACAGTTAGGAACAGGCTGACAGGCTGACAGGATCAGCCACATACAGGCCTGCCACAGTGCCGTGTCAGGGGGCGCAAGTTAGTGAAAGTTTGCCGCAACCCTGTCCTCCATAGCAGCTTCACACATGTTTGAAGGGCTTTTTTTAGTTAACCAAGACAACTTTAATTGGCTGATGACCCCATTCTACAAACGGATAAAAATCCTCCAAAGAATAAAACATACCCTGGTGAAATGAAAACGGCAATAGGGTATTAAATGAATAAGGCCTCCTTTTAATTGCTCTGCTGAATTATTGTCTCAGATATTGAAAAGGGAAAAAATTGCAAATTGATCCTTTACCTTCCATCTCCTGTACAGACAGCCCTGAGGTGTTGCTCTCTCCCTCGCCCACAGGGGGCAGCGCGGCGATGGGCAGCCGTGAGAAGGACTGCCATGCGGTGCGCAGGGAGCCCAGCACGTTGTTCTTGAGGTCGGTGCTCATACGTGTGAGACTCTCCTTCAGCTCTGAAGACGAAATCAATCAGTGACGGTCAGTACGAAGCAACAGCAAGTCACTCTACCGAATGGCAACCAAGACTGGAGACCAAACCCAAAGCGTGAGCTGACCAAGGTGCATTCTCTTCCTGCCCTTGTGGTGGGGGATCAGCATGGGCTCGATCTCCATGTCAGGCACAATCATGGGTTCCATCCTGTAGGCAACTGGGTCAAACTGCAAGCAGGAAAGTGGATGCAAAGCAAAAACAGATTAGATTAGATTGAACTTTATCATGGCTGTGCAACAAAATGTCTGATCCAAAAGTGCATAGTGTAAATGTGCTAGAAACAGCTGTACTTTGTGTGTAGTGTGTAGTGTGTGTGTGTGTGTGTGTGTGCGTGCGTGTATATCTTTGAGAGGAATGTCATTCATTTCTCGCGAAAAACCCTAATCCCAAAAACGACAACCTTAACCTCTACCCAGCCATAACATTAACCATAAGTAACCAAACAGAATACAAGACTTACAGAATTTTTAATGTTACAAATTTTACAAAAAAGTGGTCCCCAAAACATGAAAATAACAGATTTTCATATTGTGGTGACATTTGGTCCCCACACTGTTATATCTACATAATACACACACACATAACACACACACACACACACCACTTCATTAGGTATATCCAGTATGGGGTTGGACCGCTTTTGCCTTCAGAACTGCCTTAATTCTTCATGGCATAGATTCAATATGGTGCTTGAAACATTCCTCACATGATAGCATCTCGCAGCTGCTGCAAATTTGTTGGCTGCACCTACATGATGCTAATCTCCCATTCCACTACATGCCATAGGTGCTCTATTGGACTGAGATCTGGTGACTGTGGGGGCCATTCGAGTACAGCAAAGTCATTGTCATGTTCAAGAAACCAATGTAAGATAATATGAGCTTTGTGACGTGGCATGTTGTTCTGCTGGAAGTAACCATTAGAAGCTGGGAACACCGTGCTCATAAAGGGATGGATGGATATGGTAACCGACAATACTCAGGTAGGCTGGGGCATTTCAACTACAGCCACGAAAAGATTGAGACCACAGCACAATTTTTTGTTTCACTCATTTCTCAATTTATTGGTGTGCGTCTGTGAATAATATATATTTTTCTGCCAACTGCAGTCTGGTACTTCCCTGTTTCTCACTGATGAAGGGCTTCTTCCTTGCTTTATGGGACTTCAGTCCTGCTTCTAGGAGCCTGATACAAACTATCCTAGCAGTGGACCTCACACCTGCACTTAATGTTTCCCATTCCTTTTGAAGGTCACTTGATGTCATCCTACGATTCATGAGAAACTGTCAGATAAGTTAATGGCCATCTCTGGCATAAGAATGTCGCTTCTGCTCTTTACCTGGCTGGTTTCTGGTAGTTCCCAGTGTCGATGTGTTGTGCATTCAGAGATGCTCTTCTGCATACCTTGGTTGTAATAAGTCGTTATTGGAGTTACTGTTGCCTATCAGTTTGAACCAGTCTGGCCATTCTTCTCTGACCTCTGCCATCAACAAGGCATTTTCACCCAGAGAACCACCTCTCACTGGATGTTTTTTTCAGCCCACTGTCTGTAAACCCTAGAAACGGTTGTGTGTGAAAATCCCAGGAGATCAGCAGTTTCTGAAATACTCATACGAGCCCATAACAACCATACCACGTTCGACGTCACTTAAATCACCATTCTTCCCCATTCTGGTGTTTGATGTGAACATTAACGGAGGTTCATGACTTGTATCTGCATGATATTATACATTGTGCTGCTGACATATGATTGGCTGATTTGATATTTGCTTCAGCAAGCAGTTGAACAGGTATATCTAATAAAGCTGCATCTACTGTATGTAGACAGATCGATAGATCGGTAGATCAATAGATAATGAACATCAACAAAGTGGTATGCATAGTATGGTGTAGTACACATGGCATAGTATGGTTAAACTCACTCCCTCACTCATTCACAGCCATATACGGAGAGGCAGGGTGCAAACACTACCGGGTGATAGATGTTGAAGAAGCTCTTGCAGGTTGGAAAGCTGTAGCTGGGATCGATGCGTTTGAGACCTCGCACCGTGAGGAACATTCCAATGGGGGAGCCGAAAGCAAAGAAGGTCTGAGGGTGGAAGTCCAGCTGGGGGTAGTTGATGGACACCTGTGAAGGAATTCATGTGAAGATGAGAATGCAGCATACAGAGTGAGGAACGAAACATCAGGGGCAGTGATGGAGGAGAAACAGCCGATTCAAACAGCTCATCTGTCGGCTGTACAACAGAAGACGCAATTTCAACAAGACTGGCAAGAACTCTCCTTGCTTTAAGAACTGCGGTCCAAAAAAAATGCATTTTAAAAAGAAATGATTTGACCGAAAGTTCTCTCAAATCATTAAAACACACACATCCAAATTTTTAAGATTCACACAAGTAAGAAATTAAACATTTGAGGATAACGAACCATCTGCTATTCAGGTGCACAAATCAGCAGCATTCACCACAACAAACAGTATTGGTGCACAACAGACCTGGGCCAATGTGCTTTGAATGGCTCTAACACACACACACACTGTCCACCTCCCCCCCACCCCCCCGGCACCATGAAGGGGATGGAAGACAATGATTGGACAATGAACAGGAGGCCCGGTGACGGTCTGTGGGGCCCAAGTGACACGCCACAAGGACTGGGAGCCAGAAGTGGGCCCAAATAATATTTGTTTTTCTGGATACTTCAGTTTGCTTCACTTTGGCTGCTTGTTCTCCAGTGAGACCATGGAATAGTCCCCAAATCTGAACCCCATTCATCTGGCTTCCCAGGTATGATCAAACAAAAGGAAAATACCATTTAAACCCATGTATGATTGGAGCAGTGATGTCACAAACAAAACGTGGTCAGATTTCACTTCATACGAGGTGGACAGGACAGGATGGAGGAGCTCCCTTTCCTGGAACCCCGCAGTTGCACCAACCTGCCCGGTGGCAATGCCCAGATTCGGCTATCCAGGAAGGCGGATGGAAAGGGTGAGGGGGTAAAACAGGAGGGCCTAAATTAGGTTTCCCTGCCCCAGAAACTTCAAAATAATAACTGTCAGAGCAAGAAGACCTGAGCAGAAATGCTCTGTGAGGAGGGAGGGGTGTGGGGGTGATATGGTTTACCTGTCCAATTCCCACATCAAAGTATTCATAGTCTACTGCACTGGTGGTGGACACAGGCCGCAGGAAGGGGTGCTCAAGGGGAGCTGGGGATGAGGCCTGTTCTCCCTCTGTGGAAGACTGCTGTCCAAACGCCAGCAATGGACTTCTTGCCTTTAGATCCTGAAGGAGAGAAGGAGGGTCACAGTGCAATTACAACAACGAATCACAGCACAGGCTCTAAGTAGGAACTACAAATTAATGAAAACACCTGTGGTATCAATGAGCTAAAGAGCCACAGATGTACAGTAACTCATACATAACTTTCTTCCTGCAAAATCATCTTACCTGTAATATCCATCTCCTGCTCATGAAGTTGAGTATCTTCTTACGTGGTCCTAGAGGTATTCCCAGATCCTTCAGATCATTCTCCGAGCATAAAGCCTGGTTGACCCGGAAAAATGGCAATTACGAAATTTCTACTTGTGCGTCCCCAATCTGCAACCATCCATCAGAGATGGGCAAGTCAAACACCTACCAAAGACTGCAGGTCCAGCTGTTCCGCTTTAAAGACTGCAATAAGTTCCTCTAAGCCCAACCTCTTTAGAGCCTCCTCAAGACTCCTGTAGTCGTGTGGGGGGGCATCAGTATCGACTTTCCCCTAGCAGAGTAAGGAAAGACAGGCCTTGTGTTCAGCAGCATTGTTTTTATCTGACACGCCCAGAAGTAGGCATGCAGTCCATCTGCAAACATAGATGCTGTTGTACCCTTTTCTCAAGAGTCTTGCAAGAGTATAGCTGATGTTCCAGCTAGAGGAACATGTACATTTACTCTCATTATTGGACTATTTCTTGAGAATCCAAGAAAAACTTTACTGCAGGCTATTCTAACTGAGAACCTGACCTTTCCCCTAAATCTTGCGTGTTTAAGTCATGGTCTCCATACCTACCCTTAGCCCGTTGCTTTCTCCTGGACCTGTTCTTTGATTGGTCATGAGGTCAAATAGGATGAGGGACCCTGAAACACAATAATCATACAAAGAACAAGTCGTGAAGATGCCAGGACTTAAAAACACACCAAAATGTCTTTTTTCACATTGACAAATCATAATTATGTGTAAAACCACAAATATAGAGTCGGTGAGTTACTTCTTCAAATGAGAATATCTGTGAATCATAAATGTGAAACGTCAGATCAGTGTGGGGCGACACAGACAGCCAGGGAGCCGACACTCACCCAGGCTGTGTCCCGCCACCGACACGGCGCCGGCAAACTGCGGGTGCCTCTGCAGGAAGAGGCGGTACAAGCGGTTGATCTCAGATGCTACTGTGTCCACGATGGTCTGGCAGTAGGTGGGGCTGTTGTAGAAGAAGAGGTCCAGGAGGGTGTCGTTGGTGAAGTGCCGCAGGCGGCTGATGCTGGGCAGCGTTATCCTCTGGATGTCCCTGGATCGAGGAGCAGATCGTAAGGAGCCTTAGCTACAGTACCACAGCCACAGACTCCTCACCCCCTTGTGTCTGAGAGGAGACTGACATTTATGAACAGCTAGTTTCCCCGAGCCATTCACAGTTAACAACCACATTTCCCATTATTGGCATATCGATGGCACCTTCATATCAATGCACCGTTACTGCACTATATCAGTCATTTTATCAGCATGTTGTCTAGTCAATCTACAGTTTTTGGACTGTTTGGTCTGTAACTGACGGAGACTGACCAACAGCTAACTAAAGCCTTCCAGTCTCCTATTGCCTCAACATGGATTTATGTCTTTATATATGTTTATATCTTTATATATAGATAGAGGGATGGATGGGCTCGATATTATGTGAATAATAACACTGCTGATCTTATTTTGCTTATTATTATTTGCTTATACAGTATAACACCCAGTCAGACATATGAATAAAGTGAAGATTTGGGTTTGGTGCGAATCGCCCGTACTCATCCACCCCCGTGGCGTCCCCGTGCAGCGCGCTGTGCCAGTTCACTGGGAGGAATTCCACTCTGCCGACTGCCTGCTCTTCCTGGGCTTTCCTGAAGTGTGTGTTGAGAAGGCTTAGGGAAGCACTGCGGAAGTCATTCACTGCCGGAGGGAGGAGGCGGAAATCAGAGGCGACCCGTACAAGCCACAGCAGTCCAACGTGGCAATTTGATTGCTGTACAATGAAGAGGCGGACAGCTCAGGTTCAGAAAGTACAAACACAGACCAAGGTTTTGTTTCAACCAACTCTGTGAATGTAACTTTTCATACTCAACTGATTGGTTGAAACAACATCTTTGCCTGGATGTGTACTTCCAGTACCTCTGGTGCAATGTCCCTTTTAACTGTACACAACATAGACATCTTGACAGACAATGGTCGGGGTGGAGGGCGCGTACGCACCACACTGGATGATGCTGCGGAACCGCAGGTCGCACGCAGGACCAATGCCATGCACCATGAACACCAGGTGGTCCACTTTCTCCGGCTCCCCTGAGATTCAAACCATCACACACAGTAACCATCTAAACTTCCCCACTTATCAGGCCCAGGAATTAATGTCAGCATTCCTGTTTCTCGACAGAACAATGCAGAGGTGGAAATCCGATTCACTCAAGTTTCCTGTCCAAAATTTAAAAACTCATTGGCACTACAGATTCAAACTGGCAGCTGGTGAACGTACATTTATCTACTGGTCTTAGTACAAGGCTATACAAAACATCCATGTCCCACCCGTCTCCCAACGTCATGCTGATTAGGGAAATCCCACAGGGACACGTGTACAATCACAGGCAGGACGAGGATCTCACCATCTGGGATCTCTACAGAGATGTTCTCCAAGCCCCTCTTGACAGTGCGGGGCCGCGTCTGCTCCGAGGGGGAAGAAACCCACTCATCCTGCTGTGTGATGGGCTGGTACTGCATAATAAGCTGGACACAGTCACAGAACAGGAAGGTCGATGACTGGCACTTCTATCAAATCAGTTTGGCGATTTCCTATCTGTGCAAAACCATTGTCGGTCTTAGGGTAGAATATATAATAGCTGTGTGCAGTTGTGACTCTCAGAGCCGTATGAAAGAAACCTGGTTTAGGAATAATCTGACTGTCCTTAATCATGCATCAAACACATTTTCTCCAAGTCTGGAGTGAAAACCAGCATGCTGATTGCAGCATGAGCAGAGAAGGGCTCCTGATTTCAGAGCAGCAAGTGAGCCAGTCAGTCAGTGTCACTGTAGAGACTGTAGTATGTACTGTAATTCACTTAGAACCCCACACACTGTAGAGGCTGTAGTATGTACTGTAATTCACTTAGAACCCCACACACTGTACAGCAGAGAAGGGCTCCTGATTTCAGAGCAGCTTGTGAGCCAGTCAGTCAGTGTTTCCATCCTGTGCGATTGGCACTCTCAGCTATACTGAGCTCTGCTTGCTGTCGAAGGCCTCGGGGTTCCCCTCCCAGATGCCTAAATATCCTCTGCTCGCACGTTTTTATTATGCTGCCATCGCACTTAACAATAATGTTATCATAACTACTTATCGACACATTAAAAGCCCTTTTAATTAGACTTCTCTTCTCTAGCTGATGCCTTCCATATGTCATTAGGCTAACACAACATCAGCTGCACACAGGAAAGTGGCTTGCAAAGATGGTTTGGACAAAGGAAAGCAGTCATCTGCAGGGCCCCCCGGTCTCAGCTGCAGGGTCACATGTCCACGGCCTCCTCCTACAGCTGCCGTCATCCACAATCAAGCCCAATTTATTCTCCAAAATGGCATTTCTCATTTTTACACTATTCCATTTAATTTTTTGAAGGAGTCAGAGAACAATTTCCAGTTTTTCAATATTGGCAAGCAAATATTTCCCAAATTTTTCACTTTCTAGGAATCGTCTATACTAGGGCTCTTCAAAACTGGCCCTCGATTCCAGATCCAGGCCTTGTTTTCAGTCCTGCCAGGTTGTCAGTTTAATAGTTGCTGATTCTGATTGGCCACAGAGGCACGGGTGAAGGAAGGCTGGAAAATCAGCAGTGCTCGGCTCTCGAGGGCCGTGAGTTGAATAGCCTTGGTCTATTCCAGCAACAATTGAACCCCACACACTGTAGAGGATGTAGTATGTACTGTAATTCATTTAGAACCCCACAAACTGTAGAGGCTGTAGTATGTACTGTAATTCACTTAGAACCCCACACACAGTAGAGGCTGTAGTATGTACTGTAATTCACTTAGACAGCCAGGTCTTTTATGGAGTTGGGCGCTAAAACATGGTGGGGTGCCTCTAACCAGTGTGGCTGGTTTATCCAAAAGTTGTTCTTCATTTTATGTGTGGCAGTTAATAAAGTTCCCCTCTGGGATTTCCTTTGTCATCTACATTCCCAGTGCAGGTCATGCTTTCACCCAAACTCCTACACCTTACAGAGTAACAGTCGCATGCTCTGTGAAGTCAGAGCGATTCCTTGACAGACAGGAGCTGATAATAAAGAGTCAACCATGGTTTCTTGTAGGAATCAGAGCAGCCAGGTCGAGCTCAGAAGGTCCAGAAGGAGCCCAGCGTGCTCCTGCCAGTGGAAATCCTACCTTAGGGTTGTGCAGGATGACCATTTCCCCAGTGGGAAAATCCAGCTTCCTCTTCCACTTATCCAAAGTGACCGAAATCTTGTAGGCCTCCTATGAAGAAAGAAGAGACACGACATGGGGTGTGAAAGTAGAAGGTTCCAGATAAACACCATGAAAGGAAAATCCTTTGAATAAATACATTCATAAAAAACAGGAACATCATCTGTTAAAAATAGAAAACATCCACAAAACACCCACAGGCTACAAAAGTAAATGGACTCTCTACATGTGCCCATATTCCCCTCATGCCAGAGAAACAACAGAACTGGCAGTGGGCTTGACACCTTCCCCCAGGCCTCCACAGGCAGCAAAACCTCACCTCCAGCCTCTGGCTGAAGTCCTCGGGGTACGGCAGGAAGCGGCTGTCCTTGTCGCCCTTGTAGAACCACGTGCAGCGACGCACCTCAGTGGGTGCCTGCTCCCAGTACACGGCACAGCGCCGCCTCTCCCTCAGCCTGACGTCATAGCGCTCGCCTTCCGTGGGAACCACCACCTCCTCCTCCTCGCCCAAGCCACCTGGGCAACCGCCACCCAAGACAGAGCCTCGGTCACATGACTCACCCTCACCCAATCGAGGGGAAATGTGTCGATCTGAAAACATAAACGCTAGTTAGGTAATCACCAGCTGTTTGTTTCTTGCTGTGTATATTACTAAGCTGCCCAAGAGTTCAACTTAAACCAAGGTTGCAAATTAAGGACACTAGTTGTATAAAGCAGTGTCTTCTGCTTTGATTTTTTTGCAATTCTGAATTCTGGAAATACATGCAATTTATGTCCTTCGAGACTGGAATAAAATAATATCACATGGTTCATATTCCAAATGTTCCAGTCTTCCAAAATTTAAACCAACAACTGAAACAAAATACACATACTCTCTATATACATACACACTCAAGTGATGATTGTTAACAACGTGCACCAAAGCCAAAGGAGGAATAAAAGCTGAAAAATTCATAATCATATTGATTACCTAGGCCACTGAACTTAGCTATAGGCTCAACATTGATATAAAAAGGCAATAAAAAATAATGTGTATCTATTATACATATTAGCTATGTGTATAATAGAAAAAAATCCCAGTGAAATCCCAGTTTGTCCAGGAGGTCCCTCAGACCAATATTCACCTAATTAGTAATGACAAGTTGTAGTCATAGCACAAATCAGACCAATAAGAGTCACCAAGCACACCAGCCACAAACCGCACAGAGGCAGGCGGCCTGACGTGACTCACTCAGCATGTAGGCCTGCTCCAGCTTCTGGGAGTCCTCCGTGCTGAAGGGCATCCAGGAGTCCTTGGTGTCAGCCCTCCGGCAGTAAAACCAGTGCGGCTGCACTGCTTCATAGGCCGAAGGAACAGCCTCCATGTCGATGATCTCAAAGGAGCTGGTCGACGATGGGGACGTCTCATCTGCGGTGACTGTCACCTGAAAGGGGCAAACACCAACAACCAATCAGAAGAGGACAAGGTGAACACGCAGGGAGGGGCCATGAGGACAGAGAAAGTTGGAGAAGAGGCAAAAGACAAGTAGCTTCATGTTCAAGCTCGTTCGATGAATATAAACCTCTATAAAAAATAGTTAAAATTCTAGGTAATACAATACGGTCTCACTGTAACAAATGTTCACATTCATTCTTCACCATTTGAAACTGAGCAACTAATCGCAATACATAATTCAACACAACACAGACTAATGCCGGCTTTATGGAAATGGGTAACACCGGTTAACATGATGAGGGCCAAAATTATTAATCATACTTCTCCACATTACAAATATGGCACAGTAGATCAGTTCTACAACATGAATCAAATATACAAATTAAAACTAAGAAACTACTTTTAGTTAAAAAATAAAATTCTTGTTTGACAGCACCTCAATTTAACATAAATTGAGGTGCTGTCATAAGCAAATAATATAGCAGATTCTACATGAAATACTATTCGGCATATGCACACACACATGCACACACGCCTACACGCACACTACTACTCTAATCCAACCTTCCAACAGCAGTAATCAAGTTTGTAATGTTTCCACTCCAATCAAGAGCAAATTCTGAGTAATTACACCCAACCTTAGAACCTGACTTTATCCAGGAACCAAAACACCCCAATAATCGGCTCAAATAAATGAACAGAAAGAGAACAGGTAAGATTTCCCACTCACAGCATGTAGCAGAGGTACCTGGCAGGACAACGTTAACCTTCCCCTCAGCACGCACTGCACTAGGTATCTAAGCACAAGCCCCTCCTTAGGTTTCAAGGCTTCACTTTAATAATTCAATACAGCCCAAATAGCTGAACTCCGCCGTCTCCAGCGACAGCGAGGAAACAACAAAACAGGACAGGAAACAGCAGTACCAGTGCCAGGGCCCTACAAAGCACCGCCTTATTCCAGCAGCAACAATATGGGGCTTCTTTGGCCTGTCTGTGACGAAGGCGACTGCTATGCATGCGGAGATGCCTCTGCAAGTGGGGAGCTAGTTGACCATGTGGCTCTTCCTTACCTGCTGACGCGACCTGTATCTGCTGTTTCACAGTCACACTGAAATCTCAAACACAAAACCACCCATCTCATTAGCAAGCCTACTTATCGCTCTACAGCGCCGGATGCTGACGTAGTATGTTTACAAGACACGCCCATGTATATCTCATTATATAACTACCCAACATTCAAGCCCAGAATGTTTTAAGTTTCCAGTTTGTTTGGCTGACTCGTCCTGACTTTCCTATCTTGTAAATGGAGCGAATTCTACAAGGTTCTTTGCATTTATTTTCGAAACAGGTTCAATGTCCAAGCACACCTTACACAAAACTGACACTTTCACGTTAATTAAAAAATATAAATGCTTGCCAAAGGTCCAAGCTCCTCCTCAGCATGGCACATCACCACTTTCATGAGCCCCTCCCAAGCACACCCCGACTCAGGCATGTGACTGTCCAATGGAGGACTTTAACTCTTTACACGCAAGACATTACTAGCCCATAGTATATTTTCTCGTGTCACATACAGGCACCAGCTATCCGCTTCTGAAATGTTACATTACACAACATAATCAGTAGACAAATGTAAGACTAGTAAAGGAATTATCAACAAACTTCAGCACACAGCAAAGACACATAGTGGTTGTTAGCCATTAGCTAACCTGGTCAGTGAGAGGACTAGATGAGATGAGGTCATCGGGCTGCTGGAGTGGAGAGGATGGTCCTGGGGGATTGGACAGGTCCTGCACAGAGATCAGCGGTGCAGATGGGACAGAGCTCCCAGACTCTCCTGAACCCTGTGACATGATGCAGGATTTCTGTGCTCCACAGCTGCACCTCCAGGTATTCAAGATAATGTGGCTCCAGTATCAAAGGGTCTGCTATTCTTCTAAAGATCTGTCAAAATCAATGGTTTCCACACAGGTCTGCATAAACAAATCTTCAAGCCACCTTTTCAACGCTCTCGACTGACTGTAACCAAGGCGTAAATATAAGGTACCACAATCATAAATATATAATACAATATAAGGCAATATACCAGTAAGATTGATTAGCTTCCGACAATCTACTGATGGAAGCAGTGACACCACGCCCATAAAACCGCGTCGCTCTTCTGTGACAGCTCCCAAACCAGCTGTGACCTAAGACACCATGTTATATACACACATGTTCCTGGTCTGAGCAGTCCATAACAGGGATGGGTGTGGGTCCCACTGCATATGTTATTCGGATACTCTGGACAAGGGCCTCCTTATTATTCGTTATTAATCGCCAGCATATTACTCGCGTCTGCAGATAAAAACGAAAGTCACAAAATACTTGTTACACTAAATAGCCGAGTGAGACGCTCATGACTTCATACGGTTCGACCGCATTAATAGCTAACCGGCTTAACATGCAACCGACCTGTGTAACGAAACGGAGACGAGTCCAGGGACCACGGTCCCCGATTCCCTCACCGCGCAGCTGGGGCAGGGGGTGGAGCGCAGGCTTACATCGCCGTAAATGAAAAGAATCAAATTCAGCAAACGGCAGGGGTGACCATCAGGCAGTCTTAGATACAGATGCCGGTCACCTCCCTACCACCGAGCGCCGTGCGGTGACGTCACCCGTCAAGCGTTCAAAGGTCACGTGGCCGGGGGGCGGAGCGAAAGCACCTAGAGCCCCCTTTAACGTGACTTTGCAAGGATACATTTTAAAAGGACAGCGTTTAGAATAGATAGAGCCGACTACAGCCTCCTAACGTGTTCGTCCCTGCCAGAAAGTAGTGTCATGAAAATAGCATTGCATTGTGTTGGGTAATCATGTTCATAATAAAACACAATTAAAAGTTCTATAAGATAGTTTCACTATTATAACATTATCTATGAAAAATGCATACGAACGAAACGGTCATTCTCAAAAATTAATAATTAGCGTGATTCTAAGTACTGTACATCTGTTTCTCGTGTCACTTTCATATATATTTCACCGCTCTTGTTTTTTTTTTATGGGAACTTTTTCTAGAAAATTGGTTATACGAGATTATATTTCATGAAGTGCAATAATAAAACTGTTGAAACAATCTGAACGTCACGGGTATAAACAAAACAAGAAGTGAGTACTGTGAATAGTATGATGTCATTTTCATGACAGTAACATAACACATATGGAAGGCAATGAAACGGCTGCCACCATTTTCAAATTAAAAAGTAAACGGAATGATGCCGGTCACCTCACTGATCCATTCATTTCATTCACTTAGTGACCGTTCAGTAATGGTGTGACGTTCATGAGCAATTCGTTTGCGGGGAACAAGCCCTTTAACCACACACTCACATTAACTTCCCTGCTAAGATGTCGTTCTTTTCGTTCTTCCGCTTGTCCTCAGAAATATGCCACAAACCCTTCTTCCCTCCTCGACTACGGCCAATGAGCGCCGGTGAGGCATGTGAGGGCGCGCTGTAAGCGAGCATATGATTGGTTGGAAACAATCCTGCCACCGAATGTATACGCCTACAGTTTAGTGATGGGAATTTCGACTTTTTTTTAGTGAACCAGATCATTTGGCTTATCTCAGAAATACGAGCCCGGGTCTTTCGACTTCCAAACGGCTCTCAATTTAGCAACACTTCTGACTTTTATAATTCAGCCAAATTTAGCAATGTTTCGACCTATGATTCGTATGTGTGCACGTCTATCATTTTAATTATATTATGCATTTATACCATGCAAGTGAATGGGTTCAACTGTGGAAGTTGCTATGACCGGTTACTGAACGAGAGTCAGACTTCGATCGCGACTGAAATACACCATCTACTGGTGTAGTATGTGGCTTACATGTGCAGTGACAGAGATGCAACATTTTCACAATTTAAAACCAAGGTTTGGTAGTGTTTGAAACCGTTAGCCTGTTAAGTTTGTTTTCTTAACAAATATGAGTAGCTATGGTACAATGTTGAGATATTTATTATATTATAATTCAGTAAGAAAGATTTTTCCTCACATGACGGTTCCTAAAAAAAAAATCACTACCGTTCAGTTCCTTCACCAAACACCGATGTAAGGATGGACAGACACCTGAAAGTCACTACAGGCTTACCTCACACAGCTTTAACAAACATCCCCTGGAGTTAAGACCTGTTCAAGTGGGACATATAGGAAGTGAACGAATCTGTTACATGAACAACATTAAAATAACCAATTCTCTAAAAAGAATTTTGATATCTATCCATAATTGTTAATTCCATTTGCTCCATCTATCACACATAACAATTACACATTAGTATTTATAAATGTAATAATTATGGGGGAAAAATGTGAAAATATTAAACCTAATAAATAGGTATGTGTCTGCTTCTCAATAGGCTATTATATGTATTTTAATAGGGGCATTGCTAAGGCTATATTAGCCCATAACAAATTTAATAATTACTAAAATAATTAATAATTGAATAACTATTTCAAACAGTGTGTACGTGTACTCATTCATTTTCAATAAAATCAGAACCCACATAAAAGGCTTAGCCCTTTTTAAGAAATCTCTAGTGAAATTCCTGTGACTCCTGTCATTTAACGGGAGTTTCTGAATGTGTTGGAGAATATATGTAACCTACATAAACAATTACAAAATACTTTTCTGACCCCCTTACTGAAATAAAGTACAAGGAATCAGACCAAATAATGCCTACTTATGTAATTTAATCAATTCTCAATTTCCCAAAGGTGAAATCATGATAGACTAGGGGGTATGGCTGGCATTTTGTAAGGAAACACATGTCTCACAAGTATGTTTATTTCAAACAGCACCAGTAAGTAGTATTTCCAGAAATCAAATGTGTTTGAACTGACCAGCCAAGTTACTTTAGGGATTTCAAGGTAATTCAGCTGAGATAAGGAAAATGCACAGGAGAATGCACACTAATCAGAGATAAAAAAAAAAAAAAAAAAAGTTCTACAAGTACACAGCACGTATTTTACTAATTTTCAACAGCATATGCACACAGAAGAGGAATTAAATTTCTTTTTCAAGGTTCTTGTAAGAAGGAATGTAAGAAAATTACACAAAAAATAGAAAAAACAAGCCACTATCTTCCAATCTCTTGTAGATGACAAGTTTTAGGGTTATGCAATAAATTACACTGCATGATTTTTAAAGTTTAACATACACTATGAACGTCACATTTTCATAAACCATAAATATAATTTATACATTTGCCAAGGTCCCTTTCAGCATTGTGCTATAATTCTCAAATACTTAAACTCCCCAACCATTTATAGAAACACTATTTGGTTGGACGATTGGGAATGTACATTACACATTTCAGCAGCCATTGCATTGCCAGATAGCAGTTCCTGGAACAGTTTTGGGAAGACTCCAAAATGTCAAGTCATATTTGAAGCTCCACAGATCCTATGCACATAAAGCATGACATGGGTGCCAACAGACATTAAGCTACATATTGAACAGAACTATGCTCTGAAGAGAAAAAAAAACCACACACATACATATGCACACACACTAATGTAATAACAGGACATAAACCAAACAGGTAGGTTTGTAACTGTAAAAGCTGTTACCCTTGTCCCCAATCCACACTCACCCCAAAGGATTTGTAGAAGTGACCACATTGCAGAAAGCCTATAAGGGCAGAATGTGGTTGAAATTAACCAGTTTGCGCTCCGCAGGAAGAGCCTCTCTGTTCCTCAGGGGTCTGTGGCTGTCTGTGTCATTCAGGGCTGGATAGTGCTGTCTGTAGCACAGGTAAGAGAAAGCCAGCCCCAGCAATGACCCAACCACCACATCTGGGACAAAAAAAAAGCACAACAACTACTCAGTGATCATCAGGTCTGAAATCCCTGGGAGAAACACCGAGCGTGTCGAGAATGTCACCTTGCCAGTGATGCTTATAGTCACAGGTCCTGGAGAGTGCAATCATGACAGCAAGGATGAGAGGCGTAAGAAAGGTACACAGCCTCCAAGCTTGGCCTCGTCCCACCGAGCTGAAGCAGTGCAGCTTCCCAGCCAGATAAAATGCTGTGAAGCCCAGGCCAGCAAAGGCAACTAGTGGGAGGATGAGGGAGATGATCACGAGAGAGGCAGGAAGGCCAACGCATGTGCAGACATGCATTCAATAATAAAAATAATAATAATAGAAAAAAAAATCAGCATGCAGAATGAGTCAAGAGCCTGGACACGCCAACTGAAAATCATTTGTTTGTCAACAAGATAACAGCCCTAAGTACCCCTTGAGGTTATGCAAGTACTGTATTATCTTGTGAACAAGGAAATTAAAGGACTGCTGCGACAGATGACCTGGCCCCCACAATCCCCTGACCTAAACCCTACAGAGCTGGTTTGGGATGAGTCAGATCGAAGAGTAAGATCAAGGTAGCCAACTTGTACCCAGAACTTTTGGAAAATCCCTCAGGACTGCTGGAGAAGCATTCCAGGTGGGTACATGACGAATCTGGTTGAAAGAATGCCAGGAGTCTGCAATGCTGTCAGTGAAGCAAAAGGGAGCTATATTGAAGAGTCTAAAATTTGAGAAAATCTTGAGTTGTTGAACCTCTCTTGGTCATTGCAGTATCCAATATGTATTAAATTATTGCTTGAACGCCTTTCTCTAGAAGATGAATAACACAGTAAAAATAGAGATCAATGCATTAATAACCGGTGTGTCCAGACTCTTGACTGGCACTGTACCGGAGACACACTCATAAGCGAAGAGTGACAGGCGGGACTCACACGAGGAATGTCCACTGGGGAAGCTCTTTCTACCCTCCAGTACCATGTCAAGGTCGCCACTGCACTGCATCTCAGGGTTTGCCTTTCCGTCCGGGAAACAGCGGAGGAAGAAATCCGGCCGGGGTCTGACACACAAGCAGACTGCTCAGTTCATCACCCATCAAAGATTACTTTGAAAATATCAAATCTATATACTGAAAAAAATCTTCAAATACAAAACACATTCTGAAAAGCTGAATGACATCTTAAATGGGGAGAAGCTTCTTCCATCGATATTAAATTTTTATTCAGCAGACGCACCATACAAATGGAGCGAACAGGTGCTGTCAAGAGACGAGGCACAAGTACTGCAAGGCTAAGCTTCTTAACAGATTTTATACAAAATGAATATTGTAATTATTATTATTATTATGCAGAAAAGTCCACTGCAGATACAAAAAAGCTCAACATTGGTCAAGTTTTTTTTAACCCAGGTTGAACACTTCTAAGGTTAATGTTTAGCAACAAGTCCCTATGTAACGCGAAGGCCTGGTGCTCACCTGCCAACAATCAGCTTAACCGTGTTGGTGAATACCCCATTCAGCCCCAAGGCCAGTGTCACTGCTGTGATGAACAACAGAAGAAATAAGCAGTACAGATTCAATCAGCTGCATGCACCATCGATCTGCTCAGTGTCCAGCACGGCTATCTGATAAGTGCCACCAACGGAGAATAAAGAATAGCTGTTTTTAGCAAACAGACATTTACTGTGGATGGTCTAATACTTCTAACCACTTATTCAGTACAGGGTCTCAGTGAGCCTGGAGCTTTATCCTAAGCAGCACAGAGCGCAAGGAACAGTCATACACACTACGGGCAATTTAGACATACCGGTTCACCTAACTGCAAGTTTTTTAAACTGCTGGAATAAACACACAGCATGGAAACTCCATAAACAGAGCAGTGGCAGGATTTAAACTCCTAATCTACAAGGTGTGAGGTGACCGTGCTACCCAGCATGTAACCCTATAACATCTCGTATTGCTCTCTGAGATGTAATCCTTCGTACAAACTTCTTAAAGGCTACTCAACTCTCAGTCCTATGGGCATCACTGTATACAGTCCTCTTTAGTCTACTTAGGCAGGGATGGGACCCAGAGCTTATTCCAGGTAGCCTAGGGTAAAAGGCAGGGCTAGAACCTGGATGGGACTTCAGTCCTTCATAAATGCCATGTTCTGAGGTTTGAGCGCTGAGGAATTTAAAACCTCTTAAACTAGGGACCCCAAGTAAAAACAGACCAGAGCTGGGGACCCCCTTACCACTAATGCATGATCACCAAGAAGAGAATAATAATTCCTTATTTATCCCTGTGGAGAAACTGACTTTTCATCCATCCCATGTTGCTCTCCATGAGACAAACAAGTAAGAGTAAGCTTGAAGTCCCAATGCAAGGTCAGCCAGCATTATGGGCCCTGGGGGCTAGAGCCCTGCTCAGGGGCCCATGGGCACCGCGAGTCAGCCAGCCCTGCGATTCTACCTGAAAGGTATCCGATCACACGCACCTACTCAGTCATCCCTCCATCCATTTTCTGTACCTACTTATCCAGTTCGGGATAGCGGGGGATCGGAGCTTATCCTTCAAGCTAAGGGTGCAAGACAGGAAATAACCCAGGGATGGGGCGCCAACCAATCACAGGGCACACTCACAGACCCAGGATGGGGCGCCAACCAATCGCAGGGCACCATTCACATCTATGGGCAGCTTGGTAACTCCAATTCACCTTAGCACATTTTTGGACTGTGGGGGGAAACTGGAGTACCAGGAAGAAACCCCATGACAACATGCAAACTCCACACTAGGAGCCAGGGCAGAGACTCGAACCCCAGGCCCATTGCTAAACACTGCACCACCATGCTGCACCCACACTGAGCCATGAGTGATTCATTTAAACTGGGGGATAATTCCCCGCTGAAGGTTTTCCCATTCATAAACCAGATAGTTACCATTGTCAGTTACATTAATTTATGCCTGCATGTTAGCTGATATAATTTCATATCATCTCTCCAACCTTGAACAGACGCCTTCATAGCCAGTGGCTGCCAAGAAGATAAGCAGAAAAGACATGACCAGAAACCTACCTAAGAAGGCTTCACGAAGGTCTCCCTTGTCTGCTCTCCACAGGATTGTGAAGAGCACAATGACTATCAGAGGCACGGAGCAGGCAATGCTCTGACAAACAAGGGGGAAAGGCACTACGTGGTTAAGACCAGACAAACACTCAGAAGAACCCAAAGCAAGAATAGGCCTTAGGGTCTCTATAGGTTTTCCATAAAACAGGGCTCATCAAATCTGGACCTCGATTCCAAATACAGGCCTCATTTTCAGTTCTCCCAGGTAGTTCTGCGACTTGTGTACCCATACTCTCCTAATATCTCCAAACAAGAATGTTATTCCAATTGTTTAGGAAATGCAAAAGTCAGGTATTTCCACAGACGCAATGATATACTCACAAACATTGCCGCAGTGGGGACACGGTCATATTCCACATGGTGATACTTGTAAAGCCAGAGCTCTTCTGGCTGAATCTGACGAATAAATGGTGGAAGCTCTTCAGTAACACTGAGAAGACAGAGCAAGCAAATTAATGGGAATCCAATCCAGGCTTATGAGTTAATGTCAGCATCAACCAGCCACCGCCCGTACATTTAACTTGTCCCGTTGCTGCACGTCGATAATACTTAACACCAAGCATCTTCTATTCTACTTTATTCGTAAAATACAGATATTAACCAAACATTTGTTCACGCAAAGAAATGTAGCCTACTTACAGGAACACCGCTAAGAGCAGAAGCCGAACAAATGCTTCTGAGATGAAGCCACGAATCAGAGACTTCATTTTTAACCCTGGTCAAATTACCACTTTTGTAAATCCATATCCTTTGCAGCACCTAGAGAAAACACGTGAGATGAAGCACTTCATTCAAGAGAACCACTGCTTCGCACTTTGGGAAATGAATTTCCAGTTAAATGACATGCATTCCTAAAACTTAGGAGAATATATGTCAATAGGGAAAATGTTACTTAAAAATTCAGTGGCATTCAATTGAGAGTGTAGGACTAAGGTCTTGAGAATAACGTTATACATCACAGATTGATAGGATTAAAAAGTCTCGCTACGTGGACTTTACAAGATACCTATTCCGTGCAACGCTTAACTTTGTTACAAAGCAAATTAAGTACTTATGCCGAATGGATTTAAACCGGTTATTTGTTTCTAATATCACGCGAAATATATAAGATTCAGCTTAGCCAATCGTCAAAACGCACAGTATTTTAAAGCAGTCAGTGAGTAAATGGTAAGAAAATCTTAAATGACTATGCATTTCCGTGTTACACAAACATTATGCGTGATGTCATCGCGGCCAGCAATCCTTAAGTACCATTATAGTCGAATCTCGCCATGTATGTTTTTACGCAAAACGCTATAAATATTTCTGACTTGAGGGTCCTTGACAAATGAGACTCTTAGTTCTTGTATGCGATTAGCAAAATCAGCCCGTACCCCCCAGTTGCAGCCGACCGCACCTCCCCCGCAGTCACTGTCTTCTCCAGCCCTCTTTCATACCATCCAAAGCACGACTGCTATCTACCTCTTTCCCCCTTCCTGATACTCTGGCTTGCAGTGGGAGCAACAAGGATTCCCCGATGCGTCTATCCGTAAGATGGTCTCACCGAAACCGGTCGCATCGCTAGTATTTTTCAAAGGGAAGCCGCGCCTGGAGAGGAAGAGAGACTGAGCCACGTCACACTACCGTGGCGACATGTGCAGGGCCTGCGAAGCGGAGAAGATGGGCGCAGCGCCGCTGCCGGGGCTCCCAGCGTCTCTATATGCGGGGGGAGCATGCTGAACGCCCACAACAGACTCTGGGGCTTATCTGGGCCAGATAATCAATGATAGATGTTGATAACATCAATACCTTAAAACGCTTAAGACTTATTACTTAAGTGCAACATTGTCCTTCGACGTGAGAACTGGACAGAAAGGCTGCCACAAAAGGAAACGTTCAGTACAATTTTATTGAACTCAGGCATGCCTGAAACCTTTCAAAGTTGAGGAATGTAATTTTGAAACCTTTTCGGTCGAACTCTGGGAGGAACATAACATTTCATTTTCCAAAATGATTTTAAATAAAATGAACGACAGAGCGGTCGGTAATATACAAAACAGGGGCAAAGTCCTATAGTTGCACACCCAGAAGCTCAAAATTACAGGCAATATAAGCACTACATAACAGATGTGTTGTGTTATGTACAAATCCGAACGAGCATCATTATTTTACGTTATGCAGTAGCAAACCGAGCAATAGAACAAAATGCCATTGTTATATAATCTCATTCTTAAAATGTGTAATATAACGCCAATAGATAAACGGTTCCCTAGCAGAAGTTCTAGGGATGTTTCACTACGTACGAGTTGTCAAAGTTTTATATTAGTCTCATCACCCAGTATTCCAGATATTTTCCAAAATATTCCGAGCATATAATTAAAATCAAGTGATCAGAATTTGTCAACAGCAGCAACATTACACATAATTTGACAAAGCTGAAAAGGTTAGGATCACACGGAGCCACCCAGCCAGTACGGGAAAAAATCCTTTGTGCGTGTGCATTGCGTTTGGAAAGTCCCTGTCCGGTTTTACACAGTGTAATGTGCACGAATATTAACCATTTTCTTTAGAACCCTTTAGAAAATAATAAATCCTATATGCAACAATAAATAAATCCTACCCACCAACACAGGATACATGTATAAACATTTCTTTAATGTTTTCAAAGAATATACATTTGGACATTTACAGAAAGCGGATCTGTGATGGGCTTTAAAATACAATGCACCACGATGGACATGAAGTGATTCACTACGGTGCACTCCGGCCAGATGATGAAAGTGCCGTTTACAATCCACGTGAATGCGTGTGTGCATTTAAAATATAGAACCAACAAAGGATGTGTTTAGACTAAGTTAATGTGCATTCACACTATTTTATGTGTAAAAATAGGTCAGAAAGCATTACAATTTTATAAATAAAAATATACAAAAATAAAAAGTAAAGACATACAATGGATAAACTTAAATGTCTTATGATTTTTGAAGGTAAGAGAAACATAAGGTTATAAAAGACACCTCTGAATTACCAGGCTTTGAAACCACATCGGTTACCCCCCATATGTAACAACACCAATAAAATAATTACACTAATTGACATTAATTTCACATTTACTGTAGTACATTACACTGCTAAATAAGAGGCACAATAAACAAAAATTCAAGTAAACATGAATAAAAAAAAATAAATCTAACATCCTAACGAGTAAAGTGACTTTACATAAAAATGTTTACAGCGACCACTGTAAATTTGCTGGACCTGTTTCCTACAAGCATGTTCAGAAACATTGCAATGATAGGATAAAAAAAGGTTTCCCAAAATTATTTATATAATTGTGGTATTATAAACATAAATGCTGACTTATGTACCGGGGAAGGGGAGTCAGATACAGTTGTATGAAAAAGAAATTAAAAGTGCCAAGGCATTCACACAGAGGATGAACACATCCAAGACCACAGTTTCACCTTAAAATGTTCCACTGCTATCATAATACAGGCATTAAACAAGGCAAGGTGAACATCTCACCTAGAAAGAGTACTTATTTCAGCGGCAACACACACACACACACACACACACACACACACACACACAACTAAAAAAAAAAAAAGTTACAACTGCCAAAAATATAAGGCTCATGAAAAAACATCGTTTTTTAGTTTTGGTTAATCGAGAAAGTCATCTTTCTATTAGTGTTTTAAAAATACTGCATCTAAAAAACAGATACAAAAGGGTGCGAGCCAATACATTTTTCAATATTATGTGCTAAACAACTAAACATTGTGATTATGGGCGAGAAAACAAGAGAAAAATATGTGATATGCGTTTGATTAAAAAGATTTCAAGGCATAGAAAGACACAAAGATGGCACTGGGGAAATTAAAAAATAATAATGTACAATACACAGGTCAACATCGGGTAACATACTCTACACACGATATCGGAAAGGCATCACAATGTAACAAAATCTCATATTAACACTTCGAATGGAGATGGTGCTTTTTGCTGTATTTGGGTAAGCAGTTAATCTGAGTGAACTAATCTAACAGTATGAAATTATCACTATACGCGGAGCGGCAGTGTTTCAGCGCTTAAGGGCAAAGTATTCAAGATATATTCTAATGTTTGGAACTGCAAAATGTAGCATTAAGGGATATATTTTGGTAAACTTTTAAATCCTGTCCAATTCAACATTCAAAAAATTTGAAGACTGCAGCTGGACACAGCGGGTTTGCGGAGAGGGATAGTAAAATATTTGCCAACTCAAGATAGCATAAGAGGCTGTGTCAGTGCATCACAGCTTTACAGAATTTAATTCTACAGAATTAAAGTAAGTCCTTTAATAGCTATGCAATGAGGTTGTCTGGAGGTACAATGTGCAAATCCTGCAGTAATCTTCGCTGGAAAGAAAAAAAACAGACAAAAAGCTACTTCACTTCCTGGAAATTCTTTGTTTTACTTTTACCCATCTATAAGACATATATGGGGGGAATATTAGCAAGAGATCAGAAGATTGATTTTCCTCAAAGCACTGCCAGAATACTTGAATTCTTTTTTTGACCGGGTATTAAAATCACGATCATAGTAAAGTCATATAACATTCTGATCCAAGTTGGTTGTAGGGTTTAGCAATCGGCCGAATGTATGGAGCAGGAAAGGGAATCATTTAAAAAGCTTTTTATGCTCCGCTTGCCCATGATGGACCCATTTCATAATACCTCAAGGGGCTTTTTTCCAATAGGGACAAATACTACATGGATTTGAATTTGGCAAACTTCAAGCTGACTTCATGGAAAGACAATTTTTAGCACGACACGTAATATGTGAACATAATTCACCTGAAATGCAATTCTTAAAAGGTCACAAACACTGTAAAACCGTTCACCTAAACAAACAGATTGTGGTGCATCTCCTGTAACTGAAAGACTGACAGGAAGCGAGTGTAAACATAAATAAATACTGTTTCATCTATAAATATATCAAAATAATCCCATGGTAAACAAACACGTCGGACGTCGGAGAGAGCAGTCTCTCTAAGAACCCTTAAAACAGTAACCCCAGCCATGATTGTGAAATGTAGTGTGTTTTTTCCTTAGATTGCACAGTATTTCTTCTCTTATGCCCCAGTCCCCAAATGTGTTTGCCGTCTCTTCCCTCCCTTCCTGAAGTGCCCCTCTGAGTGTCTACGAGGGGAGCGGATTCCACGGGGGGTCTCCCTCACGGCCCGGCGGGCATCAGGCCCCCCGGACACAGTGCAGCCAGCTCACGTGACCCGCACGCACTCCCATGATTCACAGTAAGGTAGTGGAATGGAAACCGTATCAAGGCCTAAAACATAAAGCAAACTTCTATTTAAGGTCAACATACGACACCTGGCTTTTCTCTGTAATAAAACCAAAAAAAGAAGTCATTCAAAATGTGTAAATGTGCACTGCCAGAGGCTCAGAGTTGCCACACACTCCTAATTGTTCCCCTCTCTTTGACGACCTGCACGCCAAGGCTGAGTCTAAGACGTCACGTATTTTGACGCCTTCCTCACTGCGAGTTTCAATGCTTACGCTCCACCCTCTCATCTTATACGAAAACGATGCCCTATTTCCGCCTGGCCTCCACAGCTCTGCAGGTGAACAGTGAGAGGGACCCTCACTCCCCTGCTTCCGGAGGCTCCTCTTTAACCTTGACTTGGCCGAGATCTGCTGCCCGGGGCTCCAGGGGGCTCTGGGGGTCGTGGGCGGAGCAACAGGGACGCCCATCCAGGGCGGAGGGCACCAGCATGCCTTGCTCATGGTCTTTACAGAAGGAGCTGGGACAGAAGTGGCAGAAGGACGAGGCGGCACGCGGGCACACACTGCACTGGTGCCATGGGCACTCCCAGCGGCCTGCGGTGGGAAACAAAACCGTCAGAGGAAGCCAACGGGCACCCGCAAGCAGCCTGAGGCTTAGGATGAGGGTACCCACCGAACGGCGGCTTGGTCAAGTTGAGACACAGCAGGTGGTACGCCTTGGTGCAGTCCTTCTTATCGCACATGACCAGCTCGCCACCCTCTCCGCAGCAGAAGCAAAAGTACTCGTGTATCTGCTTACTCTCTGGCTTCAGCTTCCGCTTCTTGGGCTTCAGCTTGGCGTTGCGGGCCTTCTCCTCCTTCTCCATTACCACTGCGCTCTGAGGGGTCGGGGGACGAGCAGGGTGTCAACACCGCCATCAAGTCAAGAGTGACGCAGTTACATCTGATAGTGCTTTTCCACTGGCATACAGGAACCAACCCATACCCGAGCTGTACCGCTAAGAGACTAGTCCAGCTCACTTCGCTTTCCACTGCAGAAGGGTCGGCTTGGCAAAGGCTTAGATTGGAGGATTGGAGAGGGACAGTGACGTAAAATCGAAGAGATGCTTATTTACTGTTCACATTGTGTACATCATGATTTATGAAGTGCTAATTTCCGCTAGCATGTCTGTGAGAATCGAATGCAAGTAGCATTTGCTTGCGTAAATTTGCATCATGAATCCATTCCGTTTAGCTGTTCTGTAGTACTCTTTTTAAAGCAGGAGGTTGGAGATTTTCAAGTTCCAAGTTATTGAGAATGTATAAATGCATCACACTGCATTTTGACCCATTAGATGGTGCTGATGCAACCAGTACAGTCTGGTGGCACTTTGGTCACACTTTCAGCCCTGCGACGTAAGCGGGGCCACCTCAGCAGATCATGGCTAACATACTTTATAATGGGAAATCTCCAGTTCGCAGTATGGCTCGGGTATGGGTTTGGGTTCTTGTTGGCAGTGAAAAAGCGCCAAAAGCTAGTGACCAAGCGATATTTTTATTCTGCGGGAGTTGAGACTGCGTGCCCCTTCCCAACTTTGTTGATCAGTTGGCCAACAGCGTGGCAGGACTCGTACCTTGGGCCGCACCCCTAGAAAGCCACTGCAGTTCTCGGCTCCACAGTGGCAGGACGTTCGTCCGTTGCCCAAGCAGTCCAAGTTGTAGTTGAAGGTTAGTTCAGTTTCTGCAACAAATGTGTTAAATTAATCACCTTCCTAAGACTGACCACAAGCGGGCATAATCAATGGAATTTTTCTGTAAATGTTCTAGCATTTCAAACCTTGAAGTGTGTCAGTGTCTGAAAAACATTAGTGCCAAAGAAAAATGCATTTAAAAAAAAAACAAAAAAAACAAAAACAAAACACACACACAGACAAGGAAAAGGTGCGATTCTCACCAGCCTTGATATCACACAGGGCAAATAGGCCAATCCGCACGTCCCCATTCACCGTCCACTTCTGCGTCTCGCAGTTGGGACTGCAGCTGTGGTTCATGAAGCGAGAAAAGTTCCCTTTGGGGCCGGCGTCAATCACGCGGTCCTGTCGGGCCAAAGGAGTCACATCACTCAACGGCTGCAGTAGTCAGATAATTCACCTTTGTTTTTACATAAAGGCATTAAGTGAAATTTAAAAACCCCTTAGCAAACATCCGAGTTCACTAACAATAAGTGTGAGGGATTTGATGGCGCACATGCATGCAAATGACTAAGAAGATGGCATGCAGCTTCCCTGCACGAGACAGTACCTTGGTTAGGGTCAGCATATAGAAGTTGGTCACGCGGCTTTCATGTGCACGCTTGATTCGCAGTCTGCATTCCTCCGAGTCGATCAGCTCACCCACATACTCCAACACAAAATCCCCCTGGGGAATGATAAAGCGTACAGCAAATTGCAAAACGCCCCACAGTCTTGCCATATGTGACCCGCTGAAATGGTTCGTACCATCTTATGAGTGGGTGGGATTCATGGGAACAGGGCACCCGGACTGCAGACTCACCTTCTTCAGGTCCTGCTTGGTCTTGAGACCCCAGCCCCGGCCCTCGGTCTTGATGACCTCTGTCTCGGGGTAGAGGCGGCGGGAGAAGCTCTGGTTGTGGCAGCGATCGCCCGCAGGGCACACCTGCGAGTGGCACTCGTACTGCAGCATACGATTGAGGCACTGCGAGTCCAGGCCGCAGGGGTTCTCGCCCGTCGGCTTGCAGTTGCAGCGCGGGATCTCTGACAGGTCCGCTACGTGCACCTGCACCTTTCCCACGGGCTTGTTGGACTGTGAGAGAACACAACGCGTGTCAGCGGGCCCAGGACAAGCTGACCCTGACCAAACTGGTCAGTCTGCTTCGTCATCGCTGCTTTTTAGCATAATGCTCAATTTGAAGTGGAATTTAGGACGGCTAGTTCTTTTGCTTAAATGATAAACATTCCGTGAGATATATACAAGCTTAGGTAGCATCTCCAGAGAACCGAGCTGAACCAAATAGGACCATTTCCATCCGGGTGGGTCTCCACTGCAGGCTGGCAAGCAGGGGCCTCACCTTGATGAACTTGTAGGGCGGGGGTCTGCGGGAGCTGCGCTCCTGCTCCAGAGCCTCCCGGCTTTCCCTCTGTGCCTTCAGCTCCTGGAAGCGCTTGGCTGCCTCCTCAAGAGCTGCAGTGGGGACAGAGTCATGAGGCGACGTGGAATCGCACGAGCGGCTGCACCAGCACCAAAGACACCTTCACGGGCAAGACGGCAGACCTCCTGAGGGCCTCACAGGGGGTGGGGGGAGGTACGCTCGTCTCTTACCTTTTTTGAACGTCTTGCTAATGCCCATTTGGCCCTCTGCAAAGTTCTTGTCGCTCTCCACGTAGGGGAAGACGCGGCCCCGGCCGATCCAGTAGTAGTCATGGGAGCCGAAGAAAAAGACGGGGAACTCACCAATGTCATGCTTCAGTGTTTGAATGTTGAAAGGGACAAGGCGGGGGTTACAGATTTCTGCGGGCCACCACCTGGACAGCAGAGTCAGAGAGGCAGGTAAGAACAGGAGAGACACCAACGGCAGCACCAGCAGGGCGGCAGTCTCTCTCCATTCACATTTCCAACATTCCTGCCCTTGGTACACTTCCGAGGCAGCCTAGACCTCAGAGTATCCCTCTACATGCTCACATTTTATTCTTAAAACTAGAATTTACCCAAGGAAACACAAACACTAGAGGAAGGTAAAAGTCAGTGACAATTAAGTCTAAATAATCGGCCCTGCGATATGAGAAGAGCCTGGCTTGGGGTGTCTGGGTGTAAGAGAGAAGGCCGCTTGTTTTGCTTTACAGTGGAATAGCCACCATGACCCTCAATGGAAACGGACGTAGGGATGGACAGAATGGGACACATTATTCCAGCCTAAGAAGCTGCACCAATTACTCAGGATAAATACTGTTGAAATCCATCAAACACTACAGAAGGAGAAAGTATTTTATTTATCAGATGCTTTTGTCCAAAGTGACACAAACGCGATGATCAGAGTTCAGGACCAGCCAGAGCTGATAACTTTGCCAGTTATGGGATTCGAACCCATGACCTTCCGGACGAGACGTGACTCGTGTGGCGTATACAGAGGTCCGCCTGCAGCCCTCACCTGTAACTGCCCAGCTTGACCCAGACGATCTGCTTGTAATGCGGCCTCTTCCCCGCCCTGCACTCGCTGCAGCACCAGGCCCCCTCCGGCATCTCAATGCTCAGGCACTCTGGGTGGAAGGAGGCAGGGCACGACTCGCAGCACAGCAGTCTTCCCCCTTCACAGGGACATGGGAGGCGGTGGTCACGGCGTGCATGTCTGCATCGCAGCCACAGAGGGCGCCATCTGCTAAGCTTTATCCCAAGCAGCACTCCATGAATTCTATACCATGTCCCAGCATGTATGCACACACTGAGTCACAGCGATCTCATTGGCCGGGAGGTATAACGTTTTATGATGGGCCAGGATAATAGAAATTGTGGAATAATGACAGTGTAATTGCCAATAAAGCTGCTTCGAGCTTCTAAAGTGCACTTTTGCCTGCCATTTAATACTGAGTCAGTTCTGCCATTTGAATTAAAATGCTCACTGTCAGCATTCCAGAAAGTTCCGTGCACTGAGATACCCGAGGCCCCATGGCCAATAAGAAACCTCCATGAAGCAGCTGTGGAAAGGCTTAGGGCACAACGGCACATAAACACAGGCGAAGGGAGGTGAGAACACGCAGAAGAGAGGCACCAGACAGACATGCAGCGATTCCCTCTCTCCCCCTATATTTCCATACAGTATCCGACTACAAGCAAGAGCTTGGAGAAGCAAAAGCAGGATAATAATTACACATTTAGGAATCTTCTACACCAAAATGTTCAAAAATTGGGCTTCAAAAAAAGCCTCAGAATTATCATTACATATTTATATGCTATAAAAAATATTTCGATATTAAAAACGTTTATAAATTTCATGTTTATATACACAAAATCTGATTTGAAGATGTTATTTTAAAAGTGACAATGACACCCACCTAAAGGGCAGTGTAATATGACTTCACAAAGGCGCAGTCAGAAAGCCCCCAACCCGCAAGACAAGCGATGGACAATGAAATTTCAAAAGAGGGACCATAAAAGCAGCGGCAGTCAAAACAGCACAGGTCTCAAAACACCCAGGTGGCCCCCGCACCCAATGCTTTTCTCAGCAGGCCGGGGGCTTTACGGCAATGCGGAGGCAGGGCACACGGGGGCGTGCGTTTGAGTGCACGGGGTGGGGGGTATCATTTCATCAAATCAGCTTTGGGGCCAATGACTACCGTGCCATGGCCTTGGTGCGGGGAGCAGAGCGGAGGCAGGACCAGCCAATCGCAATGACGTCCTGCCAAATCCGCTTTCCACCTGTACCACGGACTGGCCAATGGCGACACAGCCCCGCATTGCAGTAAGAGAAAAGCAGTGTCCCCAGGCTGAAGCGACCCGCCCGATGGCAGCCGAAACGCATGGAGAAAAAACAGGACGGACAGGACACACAGCAAGGAGAAATGGAAGAAACATTTCTGTTACCTTTCCCAATATTCTTTTTGGTAGCTGACGAAGAAGAAGGAATCATAGGTAATTTCATCAACTCAGCGCGATTTGACTCAGTCAGAAGGTAGTGCGACTTATACGCATAAGAACTTAATATGTTGTCAGTATGGTCCTGCACTAACAGCCCTACATATGAGACAAACAGGAAAAGCAATGAGCCAGCAGAAAGTACCCATGATTCCAGAAAACAAGACAAACATTACAACATGGAAAATGTTAGGAAACAGAAGAACAAGAATAAAACTGACAGTACTTTAAAACGACTATTCAACAATTCTTTGACTCATTTTCTATATTCAAATTACATTACCTACAAGTAGTGGGCAAAAAAATGACCAAAATACAGAAGCATTTCAAAATCGCACAGCGCGACTGTTGATGGCCCAACGTCAGGGTAACTTTGGGTATGAATCACAAAAAGACAGATGATTGCAGACAGAACTTCAAGAAAAGGGTGAAAGCTTCATTTTGGGTTATAGATTAATAAAGAAAACTGTCAAGAGAGAAGTCAGTCAGTCTGACACCATAAGCGTAAGAGTTCAGTGCTGCCAAAGCGGACAGGGGCCCAGATTATAGGAGGAGAGCAATAGAGCTGAACGAATCGCAGTCAATTGGTAAAAGAAAACAGAATAGTGCAAGGAAAGGTACATAAAAACATGTCGCACTGCTCCAGGTTTGAGGGAATCCATTCCCAGATCTCTCCAGTAAGCAGACAGAACTAGAAAAACAGCTCCGAAAGTCGCTTATTCCGTGATAGCAACAAAGCTACTTATGGAAGCACCCAATATGAGGCTTTGGTATGGTATTGTTTCCATGCCAACAGAGAGGCAGAGAAAGCCCTAAAACTTAGTAATATGGAGTTTCCATTTTTTTGTCCACTACCTGTATAGTTTGTAATTTATAAATAAACAGATAAATAAAAAGTCGTTATTAAGCACATTAAACACTCACATCAGATTAGTTACATAAACATGTAAACATGATTGTGAATCAGAGTTTGAGTTAATACAAAGATTAAAAATGTCCACATTTCACTGCTGGAATTACAATTAATTTTGTGTTAACAAAGGAAAAACACACACAAACTTTTTGAACCCTGAAAATGATACAAACATTAAAATCAGTGAAACATTGTAACAGAATTAGGGAGCATGTGAATCATCTTACAAAGGTCTAGGAAAAATAAATAAAGAAAGAAAAGAACAATGATACCACTCACTGTTAGTTTTTACTTTGAAAGGATCAATTAATTAGGCTTGTCAACCTAATATGACATTGAGAGGAGATCCTGACTGACACTGAACAAGCACAAGTCAGGGGCTCAAACCAGCTGGAAAATCATTGTATCGGGTGGGTGTGTTTTAGAGCCACAGAATCCTTTTGACAAGCTGTAAACCGTGATGCTCCAGCTGAGCTCTGAACCTTTTTGGTTTTTCACAAAAATATGTAAATACCCCGTAAAAGGATATGCCTGTTTATCATTGTATGAAATCACTGATTACATAGTCAACCTGAGCCACTGAACAACATTTAGTTACACAAAAATTTTAAGGAAGATGTTTCAAGAATTACTATTCATACCTTTTGTGTAATCGATTCACAATGGATTTAACTATAACAGGATGGTTCTCCACTAAGGAAGCCTGTTAATAGGATCTAACACGTGCAATTAATGCAGACGTCTGTGCAAAGATGAAGCAATTAGGATCTCGGCTGGAATAAGAATGAGCATGTGCTGTGACACCCCAACCCCTAGAAGCTGAGAAGGTGAAGAGTACGTGCTGCTACAGGACTAGAAACATGTGAGGTGTCTTCTGAGGCATGCTGCATGAGTGATTTACTGGGGTGTATTCCCTACACAAGAGATGACAGCACAGTGAAGCCAATTAGGTCAAATGAAGTCTTGTGTGCTGCAAATTAAGGGTTACTTCAAAAGCCGAAGCCCCCTGATGACACACAAGCCTCCTGAGCCCCTGACAGCGTAGCATCTCACAGGCAAGTATCGTAAGATCATCACCACCACCATCGTCATGACAACTCCATTCCACAGGGATGACAGATTCCGAGAGAAGTCAGGCCTACCTCGGGCACAGACGAAACACCAGCCTACATTTACTGATGAGGTTAAGTGTCCATTCCTTTTGGAGCTGGAATGGTTGCTACACACGATAACATGGGGCGTGATCATCACACTGCCGGCAGCTATACAGCCATCACCCGTGTGATAGGCTATGGGGCAGCGCATACACCTCATCAAGCGGCCTGCCGGAAAGAAACAGACCAACCAACAGTTACTGTCAGTGTTTCAAAACACATACCATCTCAACTCACTTCAGGTATGAAAAGGTACAAAAGCCTGTGTACAAGAGACAAATCAGTTTCAGATGTCAGAAACTAAATGCTGTCGGAACAAAAAAAAAAAAAAACGTGTATCTTTTTTGGTATATATGTATATGTGCTCCAGCACCCCTCAGCCCACCTAACCCCTACCCCCCCCCCCCCCCCCCCCCCCCCCCACACTTCCCAATCTCTTGCCCCCTTGCAAACTCTCCCCACTTATCCACAATCTTTATTAAAAGCCCAACTTTGTGTGACTTGCATAAATGTAATCAGGTTCACTACATTAGTGTCTGCAGCTGTCCTTTCATGTGCCACCACTATGTGGTGCTGCTTCAATTTTGGTCCAATTTGTCTCAAAATACAATAACCTCCAGATCATCAGAAATGCAATGATCCAGAGAAGTTTGCAAAAGAGCCATTAAATACTTGTAGAGCTACTGTGTTCACAAGATAAAGTGCAGTCATCCTTTCCTTCCTTTGCTGCCATCTAGCACTGCTGCTTCAATTTTGGTGCAAATGAAATCTGCATCCATATGATGTTTTTGTGAAGTGGCATTAACATCCACACTCACAAGATCAAGTGTTTTCTTCCTTTTGCTGCCACTAAGCAGTGATTCATCAATTCTGGTGTGATTTGTCACAAAATTAGAAAATGAATGTGTCTGCAAAGTGTCAAGAAGATCCATGAAATAGTTTTTGAGTTAGCGCACTAGAGATCATATCTCTGAGACTACCCTACCCTTTATCATTATGCAATACTGCTTCAATTTGGTGTGACTTGTCTCAAAAGTTGATCATTCCGAGACCACACATACAGTTTATCTGCAAAGTTTGAAAAGGATCCATCAAAACGAGATAAGTGTATGCAGCAGAGGTAGTGGACCCATCCCAAAACCACATATACAATGCTCACAGAAAGTCTAGGGACGCTTGCTTAATTCTGTAAAAATATTGCAAATTTATTGGTTTCATAACCAAAGTACATTGAAAAACATATCTTGCACAGACATTTTCTTAAGTGTCAATTGTTTTGACCAACTCATTCGGTTCTGTTCTTGCCATCTTACAATTAATTGCAAGCTCTATTAGAAGTGTAATTTGAGTTTAAATTTATTACTATTTGAAATAAATGTTGTATATAAAATTATTGCTTGTTTCTACTGTGATTTTTTTTTGTAAACGAACGCATAAAAGTAATGATTTTTGTTATGAAACAAATAAATCTGCAATATTTTTACTGAATTAAGTAAACACCCTAAGATTTTCTGTGAGCACTATATTCCCAGTCCTGGGAATATAGTACTGGGAAAGATGGTACCTTTGCTGGCTTTCTGCATGTCTCTCTCCAGACAGCAGGTAGCACAGCAGTGCTGAGGACAGGAGAGGCCTCTGGGCTCGATGGAGGTGCCAGGGTGCCTGCGGGCACAAGTCTCATGGTAGAAGCGGCCACAGCCACTGACCAGGCATTGCATCATGTCACCTCCAGGGTCCTTACAGGAAAAACAGTTGTGGGAGCCTGGGGGGGAGGGGGTGCAGATAGAAAAAGGAGTGAGCTACAGTATCTCCGTTTTCCATACTCACAAGGCTGAAGGAAGATAAAGCCAACAACAGAAAGGTGCAATAGTACACAATAAATCTATGTGCAACTCACAGAATATCAGTTCTAAAATCATCATAATACTTGCATGTTGCTCACCGTTGGTACACTCCAGGCAGGAGAACCTCCCGTCTGGTCGGGACGTTAGGCCCAGGCACTCCAGATGGAAGAGCCTGCAGCACTCACCTTCACAGCTCACCAGGGCATCCCCATAGCACTCGCAGATCTGCCAAGGCACACAGGCACGCGCATGGTCACCTGGGAGCCATCTGCCCTTTACGAGCAAGCGGCCAGGAACCTACCTGGCACACCGTGTCCTTCTTGGAGGCAACGCCACCTTGCCGGGACAAGCTGGAGTCCACGGACTGCGTGTCTGAGGCATCTGCAGCCATGGGACTGTCCGCACCCTTCCCGAAGAGTACCTATGCATGTCGGAGCCCCTTAAGCCATTCAAAAGCTTTATGGTGGTCAACAATATTTGCCGTGTTTACATTAATTGGTTAAGCCAAAAGCAGGCAAGGAAATTGTTGGCCAAGCACTACAGATGTCCAAAAAAAATAAAAAAAAAAATAAGGAGGACCACTACCCGTTTCAAACATACCTGTGGGTCGCTGAGGCCCCTTGAGTCGGAGTCAGAGGTGTCGCGGTACTGGGAACTGGCCGTTTCCACGTCGGTGGAGGCCCGACTCCGCTTCTTCAAGGGTTTGCAGGAGTCAGAGATCTCGCTGGCCCCTATTGAAGAGAGGAGACACACTCTTGTACACCTCAAAGCGTATTACAGCAGCACTTCCTGAAAGGTCCTTCGCACATGACTATGAGAATAATGCCTCCAATTTTTTGTCCCGGTTTAAAAAGATCTGTGACGCTACTGCTGGGTATGAAGTAGTGTTGCGCGGGTCGGCTTTCTTTAACACCCGCCCCAAACCGACCCGTCAGGAGATCCAAACCGCCCCGCCCAACCCGCAAAAATATGCGTGGATAATGACCCAAAACCCGACCCGACCCGAGGAAAAAATAAATAAATACACACCAGTGAGCCTGTATTGCCATGGAACCTACCAATGAAGTGTCATTTGTGACACTCTAACCCATAGATGACATAGATTTGTGCTAGATTCGCATTGAACAGGGTTCCCCCAGTTCTGGCAGAATAAATTTCCATGACTTTTCCTAAACTTTTCCAGGTTTTCCATGACCGCGGGTACCCTGATTGAAGATGATGACACAATTTTATGCAAGATTAACTGTGTACCAAATTTCACCAAACTAGTAGCTTATCCTACATATTGAAAACTCCAAAATTGAAAAATATACGCTGACCCTGTTTACAACACGTTTTGATCGATAATGAAATGCGTTTTGTAACTTTTTGACCCGCCCGCCTGCACCCGCGATATTTTAAAAATGTCTGCCCTAAAACCACCCGCGGGTCACGGGTCGACCTGCGCATCACTAGTATGCAGCAAATGAAGATCCTTACGAGAATAACCGTAAAATCGTTAGAACACAAGAATCCCACTAAAATACATAATGCACGGATAGAGACTGAAGCCAAATACCTTTTTGAGACCCAGTCTTCAAAGCTGTTTGTGGAACCATTTCTGACTGCAGAGAGACGACAAGAATATCAGGTAAAAGTGGAAATTTTCTAAACTTTTCTGCCCATGGGGAAGAGTCATGTTGATGCCAAAAGACCACAACCATGATTCATTTACTGCAGCATACGGCCCAGGAAACAGGCGACACATGGGGCTGGAAACCCCCGTACCTGCTCCTTCTTCAGCTTCTTCTTGGGGATAGGTTCTGCACCTTTCTCAGACTCCGAGCGGCTCCGCACCGATCTGCGCTGCTGCTTGCGCTCCACCGGCCCTGTGGGAGGCAGACTCTCAGTGCACCACGCTGTGCCTTGGGGGGCCTTTCTCAGGAAAGCCACCGCACTTTGCCGCTACCTGCTGGGGCCTCAATCAGCGCATGCTGCATAAAGCTGGACTCACTCCTCCGGCCGAAGGGGCCAAACAGTCGCTCCTGCTCTCTGGAGCTCAGCTCTGGTTTACTGCCACAGTCCTGCGGAGCGAGATCACTAAGAATCCCCACACTCGACATTTCAGACTTTGTTGGTTCGCACCACACTCGCGTACAAGCATTCCGACGAACACAAGAAAATGCAGCCCAGGGTCTGGAAGAGACTGAACGGGTCGCCGGACTCGGCCAAAGCTGTCGCACATACCTGCCAGCCTTCCACCTCCATTCTCCTCGGGGAGAGGGCCTGCTCCCTGGACGAGGGCCACTCACACTTTATCATCTCCACATTGAGCTTCTTCATCGTGACGGAAAGAGGGAGCAGCTTGCGTGCCGCTGCCGTCTTCCAGGTCGTCTTCACTGGAGGAGACTGCTGGTGGGCTTCCGTGGGTTCACTTGGGACCGGAAACTGTCGGTTCTGCTCATCCCCCTCCTCCTCCTCCTCCTCCTCCTCATCTTCCTCTTCCTCGGGCCCCTTGGTACTGCCATGGCTGGACTGCCGGCGGGGCTGGTGCCGGGTGGAACGCTGCTCTCCTTCTGGGGAGCCGGAGTTCTCCTCCCGCCCACCACCGCGGGATCGCCGTGCCTTCTTTCCCACCTTGGCGGCCCGAGGCGGTGAGCCGCTGGGCACCTCATCCACATATATGAATGTATAATTCTCTATGCGCTCCTCCCGTGTCATCAGAAAGGCATCCTCCACGTGGCCGACGCCCACTTCCCACTGAGCACGCTCCCTTTGAGGAATGGGCTTCAACAGCTGCAGAGACCACAGCAAACTGGCGCGTGAGCGACTCCAAAAGCCCTGATGTCCAGTAAGATCAGAAGAGCTCAAAGGTTCACCAAAAGCATTATTCACCATCGACAATGTACAATGTATAGGAATGATTACAGTCCATGATAATCAACATGATGTGCCTCATAGCAATAACATTTGATGTGGGAGATATTCAATTGAGATGAATAGCTTGACTGATTTCTGATAGTACTGTGTTGGCAACAGACCCAGATTCAATAATAAGAATGAGAAGAATAAGCATAACAATAATTGATACTTTATTGATCCCCATGGGGAAATTCTCTTTTCACCTCCCCCATCTTGCTCTCCATACCCGCGAAGGGAAGCCACCTGCTGCCACACTCAGGGAGCTGGGAGTCAGGAGCTTTTTGCTCAAAGACCCACAGATGTGCCAGCAACCTTCCCATCGCAGGCACAGAGGCTGAGCCCACTGAGCCACACACTGCCCCCAAGTGTTAACTCCACCAAATCTATGGGGGCGCTGCGTGACTCGGCAGGTTAAAACACAGTGCCAGTGACCAGAAGGTTGTGAGTTCAAACCCCCGAGGCGACAGAATGATTTCACTGTTGGGCCCTCGAGCAAAACCTTTCAGCCCCAATTACTCCAGGGACTGCTTGACCTTGCTTTTGACTGTATGTCGTTTTGGATAAAAGCATCTGGTAAATAAATAAGTAGTAACTGGATATTGGCCATAAGAGTGGAACAAATCGGAAGCTTAAGGACCTGAAGAGCCTGAAAAGCTGTGGGCACATGTGGCAGAGTACCTTGTGCCTTTCCACAGGATTGGAGGTTTTTCGCAGGGTCTCCGCCTGCAGCTCGTCAAACTGATGCTGACCCTGGTACACCACCACCCTCTTCTCATGGATCCATGCCCTCTCCGGCACGCTGCCAAAGAACTGGACGTGGTATTCCTGGTGACCTGTGAACCAGGTCAGATGTGGGTCAGAGAAAAACAGAAACCCAGGGCCCATCTGTGACCCTCTGCGAAAGGTGGAAGGTAGACTTACCTCTGGTGTTTATCCGGGTGTGAACTTTGGATTGAGGGTCACGGGACACCATGCAAGGCCACCAAGGGTACGTCCCCACCTTAGCCCATACCAGGTCCCCGACCCCATGGTCTTTAAAATCACCAGTGGTAACTGGTACCGCAGAAAAGTACTCCTGGGTCAATCAACCAAATGATCAAGGAGGGGACAGGAGGGGAAAAATAAATAAATTACATTAAAATCATGAGGAATAAGCCTATAACAAATATCCTGAAGATATCTGAAGACTTTAATTCATAGGTAAAAAATAACCCTTCCTGATAAAGGGCGACTCACAGATCACCCTGCACTTACTTTTGGATCCCTTGCTTCCACGTCGGAGCCTTTGCAGTTCCTGGGTGTATCCAGCTCCTCCCTCCGTTCACACGGCTGTGGTCCCCGCAACACTGCCTCCCCCAGGTGAACAGAGGAGATACCTTGAGGCTGCTCCAGCTTCTGCAGCTCTGGCTCCGTGTTCTGGCTGTGATGGTCGCTGTTCTTTTTCCTCTTTTCCTTCTTGTGCTCATGTCGGCGGCGAGACGTCTCGCCGGTTTGGACCTCGTGCAGCAGATCGCCACAAAGCGCTGACTCAAACAGCTCCCGACCATTATGGTACGTCTTGATGATCTTCAGTTTGATCTCAGGGGATCCAGTCTTCTTGGACAGGTTGGATGGCGGTGGTACAGCAGCTAAGGGGTGTGGTGGTGTCCTGTTCAATAGCGAGGCGGCTGGAGGGGAGTTGGGCGGGACTACAGGTGGAGGCACAACATGAGGCATGAGATGAGGTGGAAGAGGGTGATGCTGTGTGTGCAAAGGTAGGGGACTGTTGGTACTCTGAAGATGATTCTGTTGTTGATGGTGATGGTGTGGATGGGAAACTGGTGAGGACGATGGTGGAGGTTTCTCATGGACAACGGGGGCTCTCAGTACAATACCTTCCCCAGGCACAAGGTAGTGATCTCCATAGTTACGGATAGCACTGTAGCCATTAGCGGAGCCATTGGGGAACTGCGAGTACACGCCATATTTGGTCTGGGACTCATACAGGCCCATTGTAGGCAGGTAGCCATTTGTGACACCTGGCTGGTCTTCAGGGGCCGAGGGAGGGTAGCAAAAGCCAGACTCTAGGGCTGAATCATAAGTTGAACGGCCTCCATTCTCGCCCAGGTTGCTGCTGGCATCGTACGTATCCTCCTGCCGAATGTTGGCCGAGTCAATGAGCTGAGGTGGTTGTTGAATTGTGTTTCCCATGATCCCTTGCATGAAAGAGAAGGAGAAATCCATTGTTCTGCTGCGGCATCCTTAACTTTCCCTTTTTCTTTCAGGGCCTGGTAAGGGAAACATGAACCAAAGAAATTTGCTGTAGGTGAAATCAGAATCACACCTGTGACTTTTAATGGTAAACAGACTGCATTTATATAGCGCTTTTCTATTCCTATGCGTACTCAAAGTGCTTTACAATACATGCCTCACATTCACCCATCCACACTCACATTCATACACCGGTGGCAAAGGCTGCCATGCAAGGAGCCAACCTGCACACCGGGAGCAATTTGGGGTTCAATGTCTTGCTCAAGGACACTTTGATGGGGTCAGTAGGAATCAGGGCTTGAACCGGCAACCCGCTGGTTGCCGAACGACAGCACTACCTCCCGCGCCACCATCTTCCCCAAATTAGTTCAATGTTTTCAAACCTTCTAAAACTGCACAGTAAATCATTTTAAAATTTCTGAGAAGTGCTATTAATTTTGATGGATGCAACCAAGGGGGGGGGGGGATTATGAAAATATTAAAATGACGAAAATGAATGTTTTACTGCCAAAGTATCCATGAGGGAAAATACCTAAAGAAGGTTCACCAATTTGGCGATTGTGCGGGACAGGAATGTCTGCCGCTTCTTACAGCTGAGCTGAGTCTGCATGCAGGCCATCGTAAGCAGTGCTGACAAAAAAAGGACGTGATCAACACGCTCCTCCTTGGAGCGAATGAACACCCTTGTGTTCATTTGCGGGTCCCGGGGACCCAGTATTCAAATGAATGGGGTTAAGGGGCGTATTGTATTTCCTGAACACAAGGGTTATTAATGCTTCTCCTTTTTTGCATAAGCGACAAACTGTTTCATAGTTAAGTGACACGCCATTAATCAGAGGGGAGAAAAAAAAAAATAGAAACCTGAGGGAAAAAAAAGCTTCAACCTTACAGATTATAATGGCTCCTACCCAGAGATTAATCTAGAAATTACTGACAATGAGTCCAAGGACTCGCATGTTTTAAAACAATAGCCAAATCAATGAGTCCCAAGTTGTAAAATATAGAAAAAAATCTACAAATATAAAAACAAAATATATACAACTACAGAAGCAGTGTAAGAGGTCATGGGCTGCAACTGGAGACATAGTTTATTTTGCTTTTTTGCTAAATTTCTATGTCTTTTACATAGAATTTATGAAGTAGTTCCACTAAAGATTTAAATTTTGCCAAAGTAAGGTCTTCTTGTACAATCCATTCCAGAACCTTTACCATACCAGTTATTGCAATATCCTGCTCACTGGACATTTTTTTGCAAGATGTAGCAAGATCAGCTTGTAATTGCGGTACCATAATGAACCTGCGGTGGTCAGGAAGGTCACAGTGTCTAGCAAGAGTACTATTTTGAAAGTTTCTGTTTTGGGCAGCTTTGCTCATTCCACACCGTACGCTATTTTCTTCGCATACCGAACAAAACATGAAGTCTGGCCTTTCGTCGCTTGCTTCTACTGTACGTACCGAAGCCAGCTGTACCTGGATAGCCATTTGCATTTAAACTCGCGGATTTTCTTTGTTTTTGTTTCACTATTGTTTAAATCCGTTGTTAATGTTTCTGGCGATGGACTGGCCGGTGGATTATAGGAAGTTAGTTTCCGTTGCGAAGGATCAGGTTTGTGAACTTTCTTCGGTGGCATCCTGGTCGTTCAGCATACGGGCAACTAAAATGAAGCGTGCCGAAGTAATCGACACTACAGCGAATACCATTTGTCGAAATATGGGCACCTGTGTTTTATTAGCCAATCAACTTGATACATTGCCGAGGACAACCGGTGTCGATATGAAATAAGCACCGCGAAATAGAGCGATAGGTTTTAGACAACCAATTTCTACTGCGATCTATGGAACGCACAGTATTAAAACCTTTGCGTCCTATAGAGAAAGAATGCGTCCTGGACGCAGGACGCACATCTAGGTTAATCGCTGCTACCGCAACAAATCATTTCACTAAACAGGATTTGTATTGAGGGTTATTTTTAGAAGTAGCATACAAGTAAAAAAAACTCCAAAACAACAAAAACAACATTTGGGTATAATAAACAGCATCATCACAACTGGTATTCAGTTGCACAGTGTTACATCTTTGTCTGATATTGCTATATAAACACTTTCAACACCTATACTTAAGGACATACATTAAGTTTTTAAAGCAGCTTTTTGCTAATAATGACCCATTCTGACAGATACAGATAACTAATATATTTCTGTCTAATTATTTAATACCAATACCCACAACCAGCTAACCTCTGAGCCACTTGCGAAGCAGGTAAGGATGCCGGCAGTGAGTCTTAGCGGAGGAATGACATTACATTGTTTTTTATTCTGTGGAAAGCTTGATCTGCTGGCCAGACGCAAGGATGAATTAAAAACATGCCGCAGGCTGCTACTTTGAAATCTTTTGTAGTAGAGATGCCACCCATCCCGTATTGTAAGATAAAATGCTATGCCCCATTTAGATCCAATTTTGAATGCGATTTGTCTTGTACTTTTGGACCGTGCAATCAGTGACCCCACTCAGCACATTTTATTACTGGAGACTGGGGGGGCTCTTATTCCTTCAGATTGAAAGTGGCAGCCCTACGTCTAAGTGGTGAGTGAGCCAATGAAATCCCTCGCCCTCCACTAGTAAATATGACTGACTGTCCAAGGCAATCCTTTTCATTATTTTAGCAGCTATGCCTTTAGCTCTGGTACTGCTAACATTTAATACTGATAGTGAGGTTTAAATACTGGCTGGCAATATCAGCCAAAAATGACACCTCAGACTGACATCAATATCGTGATTTTTAATGACTATCAGCTAAAACAAATTGCACACGCTATTGAAGACATCCATAATATAAACAGCTTCAGCATCATACATTTTTCTTACAATTCATCTTATATTTCAAATCAAATCATTCATGTGTTACAAAATGAATGTTTTGCAGAAAAAAACCTCTGAAAATCACAGGGGTTTAATTGTGCAGACTGATTTTCCTTTATTGCCATAAGACTGTTGTTTCCAGATGTTAAATTGGAAGCACTGAAGAAGCACTTTGTTACTTAGTGTGTAATGAAATAGCTTTACTTCTAAAGAAATTTAATGTAATATGTGTGTATGTAAAATTTACAGCCTCTTCATTCTTCAGATACCAGTCACATGTTATCCTGAAAACATTGATAAAAGCTCCTGTAGTTTGTCAAACTGTCAGTATTGTTAAGCTGACAGTAATTCTGAAACTGAAATATGTGTCCATTATTCAGTTCTTCTGGGAACAGCTTGGAGGACTCCAAAGTATATAAATAAAGCCAACAAACAGCCCATTACAAAATGAGGATCTAGATATTAAAACTAGGAATTAGAAAGATGCAGCCCCTGAAGAAACATCCTCTAAAGTTTAACTAAAAGTTCAAGTAATTGCTACCTTAAATTGATTTTATTGATTTGTGGACTTTAACTAGAAAAAATATCCAGTCAACTAAATCTGGATAAAAATCAGCCGTTACACATGTCTGTTAAACCACACAGTAAATAATTAATGATCATTACTGGAAAAACACTTTAAAAAATAAAAACACACTTCAGCTCTTAAAATAAAACACATACCTTAATCACCTGCAATAAGGCCTAATTGTTTTACGGCAACAAAAATTGCCAAACAGAGAGTTCTCTTAGGACCAAGTCTGATATCCATTGCCATAGCCTGAGAAGGGCAAATATTACTATAGACATCTGGGCAGGTCACAGGATCTTTATCCTTAATGTCTGTCAACTATGATTTCAGGACCTTATTTTAGAGTAACAGAAAAACCTGTGCAACCAATGTTATTTTACCAAACAATAGCTAACAGACAGCTTTTCACTATCAAAACATTACCCTTAATTTCTGCAAATATAATTCAGCAACTAAGACATCTCTTACGATAGATAGGTGTACTACATCCAATGAAAGCTTTAAATATCTCCAGGCATGAAAATTTTAACTATGAAAAACTACAGAAAATGGTATTTAAAGCAAAGTTATCTGAAGATGCATAAGGAAAAAAAATCAGTGTTTGTTGACAGCCAAGAAAGAACTACATCCAACCATCATCGTCTGTCCATGGCTACTGCTAAACCGCAGCATGATCCAGGGGAGTCAAACTCCATTCCTGGGGAGCCGGAGCCCAGTGTAGCTTAGTCCTTTTCCTGTTCTACCACAAAAGATTCAGCTCAAGAGCTGTGTGGTAATTAGCACAAGGAGTTGACATCAGGTGTGTTAAATGTGGGGAAACCCAAAAATGTGCAGGGCTCCGGCCCCCCAGGACTGGCATAATCCGATTCTAATAAAGAAAACCTTTTAAACACCCCAAAACTGACTGACTTACTGATTGAACTAAAACATTAAACAAAGGTTTCAAAAAACTTTTTTTTTCTAGGAAACCCCCCCCAAAGAAAAACAACTTTTTGAAAGCACATATGGCAGCTATTGTAATATGGGTCCTTTAAGGATAGCCCCCCCCCCCCCCTTGCTTTCCATAGCGGAATGTCCTTCTCCCCCACCCTATCATTCCTGGCAAAAATGTGCTCCAGTTCCGACAGGTTTGTTAAGAGTAACTGATGCACTACAAAGAACATTCACCTGCTTTTCTATTAAAGCACTTCATTCAGCATTAGCCTTGCCAGGTTATCGTCCACATGAAACCCATGGTGAATTTTTGACCCAGTTTTAGATTTCTTAGAACATAATTTATTAACATCTCTATACCTTGTTACATCTGTACTCCCATAAAGAGTCTGTGATTCCAGCATACCAGTAACACCATGCTTCTACCCATCTTGTGTTTTGGACTAATGTTCACTTGGTTATGTGCTGTGCTCAGTTTTTCATACAAAACATTCCACTTTTTTGCATCCCTTGGCACAGGCTGCATATAAATTTAAGTCAGTTATTTTTGTAATTTTCTCTTATTTGAATTAAATTGCTTTAGTTTTACTGGACCGACAAATGTCACTTAGGGTTAAAAATATTTTATTTAAAGAAAAAAAAAACAAAAACCCAGGCAATCTCACAGGAGGCCAGCGAAGCATGTGGACAAGTGGTCTTTTTACCAGAGATAATTAAAACCATGTCAAGACTAGACCTAGACGTTGTCACATTCTTCAAATTAACAGGGCGCTTCCGGAAGAAATGAATGGAGGCGTGAGGCAGACTGTCGGCGCTTTGTTGGACTGGAGGCGATTAGGATGCCGAGCATCCTCTCGTTCAGCCCACAGCCACAATGGGCTCTGAGAGAGGACTGTCCTGTGCAAGAGCACTGCCAGAACCTAGGGTAGGAACTCCACCTCTGAGGGCCGTCACATCAGTACACTCCTACCCGGTGATACTTTAGGTACGCTAGACTTCATGTGGGTTTACAATTATCTCCTAAGATTGGTGAAATAAGCCCATTATCAACATTCAATTCTAGCAAAATTCACCAAATTTGTTTAATTAAAATAAAGGACATCACTGATGCATTTTATTCACAAACTATGGTGCAAATCCTCTCCAGATTTCGCCTAATATTCTAAATCAGTCTTCTAGTACTGGGGCAGTATCATGAGTATGGCATATAAATATAGGTGTAAATATGTAAGTATATTTTTCCTCGCCGAACAAATTAAAATTCTTTTTTTAACATTAACAAAAGGCACAATTTTCAGATGGCGAATATTGTGTTTTTGTACTCCGTTTCGAGCGTGTAAAAGAAGAAATAAAAATATCGCAACACAGGAGATGCAGTGAGTTTCAGCACAAACAGGTATGCAACGGCAATACGTAAACGTTGTACGGGACTCTTATACGTGCTGAAACTCCACTGCATCCCCGTGATTAAAGCATAATAAACACTTGTCTTGATTAAGCAGCATCTGAACACAGCACTCAGCCAGTCATGATAAGAAAGATTCCTTCAAGATATTTCGACATATTCCAATCTAAAGTTGGATAAACCCAGCAAGTGTTTATGCATGTAATTTTTGAGAATTTCTATTACCAAAACTGGTGTCAGCGTTACGTTACTTCAATATATCAGGAAGTCACTAAAACACACACAGCACACATAGGAGGCAAGTACTAGACACGCACTCACACTTTCCATCGTGTCAGGCTCAAAGTGCGACGATTTAGAAAGATGCCTCACAAAAACTACCGCAAACTGCGCGAAACGGCCGTCCTAACTGGCGCTACCATACCCTAACACAGACACAACGTGTACTGCTTATACTCGCATTAAAATCAATGTCCCTGTTATCGGTTCGGCAGCCCCGAAGAGCCGACCGAAATGCGGAAGACCGAAACAGCCTGACAGCCGAAGAAGGAGACAGCAGTCCAGTTTACCAACATGGCTGCCCATGTCCCTTTAAATCAAATTGGCCAGATTACACAAACACTCGTTACAGGCAGAGGGGGAAAAAACTCAGCCCATCAACTGAAACAGCCAGGCTTTGATGCGGCGATGCGATTGTCGTAATGTAACGAGGGAGAAAGAGAAAGAGGAAGAGACAGAGTAAAACGAAAATGTCAATACCTTCGGCGACTTCCATTCTAAACAAACGGCCAATATGAGAGCCTCCCGATGCGACACTTTAAAAAGACAGCTAGCTACAACAAAAGCGTGCAAAACACCAGCTAGCTCGCTAAAGTACAGGCCTCTTCTTTGGCCAACTCCAATTTATTCATTAAAAAAAGAGAGAGGGTGTAATTCGCGGTCAGCGTTCAGTTCCCATGGCCGGTATTTCTTTATATGGAAACGTTTGAGGGTTTTTATATTTTGTCCTAACGTTGGTGTGAAATTTAAAGAAATCTTGCTCCCATGTATTTTAACGTTACTGCCTCCCTCTCTCCCTCTAGCTGTAACAAAAGCTCCCTGCTTCAGGCCCTGTGTCTCTGATCAGCGCCAAAATCACAAGCTCCCGATTGGCCGGAGTGCAAAAACTGAAAGGGATACTGGGAAATGTAGTTTCCTAAAGCAGTATTTTTAATACAGCCCTGCACGTACAGAACTGGTTTGTTTTTGCAAGCGTTGTAAGCGAAAAGATGCTGGAAGAAAGTGTTTTGTAAAGGATGGCAGATTTATTACATTCTTTTGGCCATAAACAAGCATGCTATGTATCATGCGAAAATGAATTTTAATTACTTACGCTGTAGTTCGCTCATGTTTAATTTCCGTTCAAAGCCAATATATAGTCGCGAGAATGTATTGCAGTTTAAATGGTTGTACGCAATTAAGAAGCCATTCATTTAAACAGTTTTATGAAGTGAATATACGTTAAATATCGGACAGACTTCGCTAGGCTGACGCTTAGAGATCAGTCAAAAGTTCAATTGCAGTTGCAAATGTGGTGCAATTACACGAATTGCCACACCTCCATACAACAGGCATTTTAGAAACTGCAGGCAAGATGATGCAGTCGTCATGTGAGGCGTCAAGATTCAACAGTCATGCTGTACAAAAATCATTTCAGAGGAAGGCTGGGTGATACAACAAAACTAATTGTACGGATATATTTTCTCACTATATGGACAGAGAATAGCGAAAGTGCTACTAAAAATGATTTATTTTGTTGTTCTGATTACAATTTTTCCAACACTTTCAAATATACGAATCCCTTACAGTATTTCGCATATCTTTAACACTATATGCACCATATATTATAGCCGAATCAAAGAGGTCCGCTCTTTTAAAAAGCAAGCAGTTCTTGTAGCGTAACACTAACATGACTAATAATGCCTGAGACAGGGAAAGCCAACAGCTTATACAATAATCACATTCAGGGTAACCCCATTGCAACCATAAGCACACCGCGGTAAAAACATTACATTCTGCACTTACATCACAATAGAACACCACTTACTATTTACAACATAAATACACAATTACAATGTTATTCACAGTTATTTACAGTGAAAATGTGGTGCAAGGCATGCTGGTATGTGAATAATTTTAGTCTCTATTGCCTTGCCCCACTGCGTCACATTGACCCCACCTGAGCAGTCAGCCAACCCCAGAGACCCCACATTCATCACAAAGCCTCACAACTGCTGCAGAGACTGGTGCTGCCACTGCAGTTGTAATGTCACAGTCACCAGAGTCCCTGGGATATCTTCATCCTCAGCTGCAGGTCGGGCCAGGGGACGATCCGACACTAGACGATCGCTGTGCAGAGCTTCAGACATTCCCCACTCCAGCAATAGATGACATTAGAGAAGCACTTGATGATCTCCCCCAGTCCCCTCCAGTAACTGTCCAGCTTGGGTAATTGCCCTTTCTTACCAATAGGGCAATACACCCAAATTGGGTCTCTGATGCCAAAGTCCTGCCCGTGGCTGTGTGCATCATAGATGTGCTGTTGGGTAGTTGCTGTGCCTTGGTGCTGTCGGGCCACCTCATGCACGTCCCTCAGACACTCCTGGAGGTACCGCAGGTACGCCATACCTGGGTCCTTTGGTACCTCCAGTTGTCGGGGCGGCCCAAACATCAAGTCCATCGGCGTGCACTGCTCCCCCTCAAAGATTAGCATTGCCAGTGTGTACCGCAGCTCAGTATGCCCACATGACCAAGGGCAGGTGGTGGTCCCAGTCATACCGGTGGTGGGCAACCTGAATGGCAAGCTGCACTGCAAGCACGCAATGAAACTGCTCCACCACCCTATCACTTTGAGGGTGTAGTGGGGGCCAAACACCTGTGCTTCACTATGCAGCTCCTCGGGGACACCGAAACAGCAGAACTCCTCCAAGAGCTTCCCAGCAGTGGTCACTGAACTTTGGTGGGGAGTGGGGTACCCCTGGGGCTACTTAGTAAAAATATCCATTGCCACGAGGAGGTAGGAATTCCCAGAGTCAGTACAGGGAAAAGGGCGCAGTACATCCACCCTGGCCCTCTCCATCGGCACTTCCACTTGAGCTCTGGACTGGTGGCTTGGTCCCTTCTGGGCCATGCATGCGTCACAACAGTAGACCGACAGCTCGATGTCCCAACTGCAGCCAGGCCAACAGGAGCGGCAGGGCAATTTCCCCAAATTCACATTCACAAACTATTTAAAGAGGTTAAATTAAGGCCTAGATAACCTCAAATTACAATCATTAGTTATTAAACAGATTAATAAAGCTTAATTGCAGTGCTGAGGAAATATACATTGCCAGGGCTCCAGTGGTGTAATGCACATTTGTAAACAGGTGTCACATTTCAACCATTACATCAGCATCTTCTCTTTGACTGTTTGAATCAGTGTATTATTTTGAATAGAATAGTTGCTTATTTGCTATAGCAATTAAGAACTATTGAAATCGGACATTTGAGATGAGGAGCAAATGTGCATCTGAATTTTTATTTTATTCAGTATTCAGTTTTATGAAGATAAAGAATTACATGGAAGATCGCTCTAAATCCATTTTAAATTTCTGGCTTTTCAAAATTTCCTTAATATCAGGACATGTTCACGTTCAATATGTTGATATTACCTGATCCATCTAAGTTGACTGTTTCAATCACTTTTAGTCAGCAGTTTTCTAGTCTTTACACGAGTTCTCAAAAGAACCTAGGCAAAGACTTTTTTAATCATAAGCTACTGTAACTTTTTTGAAAGTTCATACAATATATAACTAACAGAACACATCCTTATAATGTTAATAGTATATCAGAACTATTAATAATGCTGTAGCTGAAACTGTCATTGTTACAAAAAAGGTTTATGTTAAATTATATATATGTATTATATCCAGCTGTCTCACCCACTTGGTGACTCGGCACTGCTCCCAGTAAAAGGGCCTTCCACATATATAGGAGACTCATGCTTTGAGTAAGCACAATCTTAGTTTTAAATTAAAATTCTGCATAAGTAAGTTACGCTGTCTGAACAAAAGTAGAGTATAGCAAAATATAAAACTGCCAATTTCGCTGAAGCAATCTGGATACGTTGGTGAAGCCAGAATTACAGGGTTCGTTCACTTGGGCGGGACCTTGGCCACTATATGGTCCTGTCAAGGAGTTCAACGGACATGTTCACTTAGCAGATGTTAACTAGATTTTTTGTGGAGGGTTAATGCTAAAATGCCTTATCTAATAATTTATTCTGGTTTATTTTGCACCTTTTTTTCTTTTTGCATTTTTAAAAAAATACACAACCCGTTGATGTACTTATTTGTACTGTTTGCTACAAAGGACTTGTTTTGGCAGCGGCGTTTCACTCAGACTGGGTAATTCTAAGTACTTGATAGTTAAACTAAGCATTTTCATACAGGAAAAAAGGTTGCCAAAAAGGGAACCATTTGCGGAAACATTTTTTTCAGTACGGTGATGGTTTAACAGTGTGCAAGTGCGGCTTTCCAGTGGACGATTTAATTATATTGGCCTATTGAACATACACAATCTTATTTTACACCGTGCCAAACGGTCTGTTTAGTAAAGTACGAAAAACCCCTATCCGGTTTTCAAGAAACACCTTTCTAAGTAAAACTGCTTACTACTACTAGTTTTTTCTTATGTAGTACTTTCCATAGCGATGGAAAATCTAAGTGGCTCCTTTCTCCTTTAAGCCGTGGACTTCAAGCATCACGTGAACGCGCACTCATCTTCCCATATGACCGCAAAGCTCCTCAACAACCCATTTATTTCCAGCATTACCGTAAGTCTTAAGGCAAACGCGCATTGATATAGGGGCTGAGAGCCCGGCATAACGCGGACAACCGTATTACAACGTGGCCCTCTAGCTGGACTTGTTAGAAGACGGCTGATCCAAGCTGATTAATCTAGTGTTGTTATTCACAGACGTCGCGTTTAACCTAAAAGATCAAGGTAGGTCATAAATCTTCTAGATTAAATTTAAGTGAATGTGTTCTTTTATTCTGTCTTATAATAACTTGCATTATATTTCGCTTTCGTTACACTCCATCAGTCGTGTTGCGATTATGGATTTATCTGGCGCCTAAATACGTTTAACAGGGAGAAAAACGGGCCTTTGTTTGAAAATAACTATTATAAATGTATATATAAATATATATATCATAAATACTTTAATATACTAAAGATAGAACACCATATCGGTCAGAAACGTTCTTTACAGTTTTAAATTTTATCGGGCAAGCCGGTGTATTGTAAATAAATTAGATGTTCTTTATAATAAAGACTACTAATAATCGCATCGTTTTGCTTGTTGTTTTAATAATAACGGCGAGTATTGTCGCGTACCAACGCCATTTTAAAAAGGAGACGGCGGCTATTAGTAACACCGACTCCAGCTCGGACTGAAGGGAATGACGCGCTTACAAAAAACACGTCTTTCCCGATCGCACTAACCTTCATAGCCAGTGTAAATGCTATATAATGCTATATCATCATTAGCAGCGGTGCTGTAATTGTCTTGTTTTACTCCTAAGCTTAACGGTTACGAACACGGCTTGTCATTTAAATGAAAGCGGGGTGGGGTGGGGCGGAGGGGGGAGGGTTGTAAATGCTATTATGGAATCTGTCGGTATCAGAGCATCGTCTCACCAGCAGACTCAACATAGATATTTGTACATTTATCTACATTTCTGGTTATTATTGATTTATTTTTTAATTTCCTGTATTCTATAATTTTCAAATTCATTTTCTATAGGGACCTCTCGGATAAACTCATTCCATTACATGCATCTACTGCTGTATGCTGTACTATTGTGCATTTGATTAATAAACTTTCATTAGAGCGCTTGTTAAATATTTTTACGCGTGATAAATAATTGAGTCCGGTTATCAGCGCATACGTCACCTAGCGTAAGGTCTACAGTAACGATAGTCCTGCTGTCAGTGTCTAGGGAAACAAATTGGCCCACGGGTCGCAATAAGAGTATCCGTGAAGCACGTTTTCAATAATGCGAAGTGTACTTTTTTTTACTGAAGCCCTGTGGTTTGTCTGTCCTATATTATGTATCTACTTTTATACAGCCGTTAAATTAAACTTACTGAAACAAGGATATATGTAGTATAAGTTAGTGGAGGAATGATTAACAGAGATATAAAATAATTTAAAACTAAAATATATTTTTTTAATCGAACTTCCATCTCCTACTAACATTTGAATGGCTTTACAAACAATTTGTCAAGTATTTAATTATTAATGACCTCTAAATGAAACAGATTAATGTCTAAATTATATAATAATAATTATATATAATTAATAGTTAATAATAATAATAATAATAATAGAAATTACCAAAATATATCATTAACAATATAGGTATCTAAAACCAGAGAATCTTGTATCTTAACTCTTGTTAGTGTTTTACAATTTTTCTATGAATCTAATGTTTGATGCTGGATGTGTTAAAGCAGGAACATTTTTGATGCATGCCATCCTAGTAGCTTTTCCTTTTGCAGCACACTGGTTCTTACTCGAGGTTTCTCACGAGGCCTTTACCTGATTTCTCCCTTCTCTGTCTCTACCTGCAGTGCAGCAATGAAGCTGCTGTCAAACCTGTTGCTACTGTCTCTGGTCCTTCTGCTGTTGCAAGGTCACCTCAGCTGGGCAAAGCGTGGAGGAGGTGGGGGCTTTAGCTTTGGCAAGAAATCCTCAAGCAGCAAAGGGCACACAGGAGGATCACGCAAGCCAGGACAGGGCACACACATGCAGCCTGGGCAGTACCCCAGGCAGCCAAACCAAAACCCTGCAGGAGGGTACCCCGCGGCGGGCGGGTACCCAGCGGCGGGCGGATACCCAGCGGCGGGCGGGTACCCAGCGGCGGGCGGATACCCAGCAGCGGGCGGGTACCCTGGAGCAGGAGGGTACCCTAACCAGTATCCAGGAAGAGGTGGTGTTAATCCTGGTGGGTACCCAGGGGCAGGAGGGTACCCTGCAGCGGGCGGGTACCCAGCGGCAGGAGGGTACCCCGCAGCGGGCGGGTACCCAGCGGCAGGAGGGTACCCAGCCAGAGCAGGTATGAATCCAGGAGGTTATCCAAATCAGTATGGAGGAGGAGTCTACCATGGTGGAGCAGCCTATCCTGGAGGTTACCCTCACAGGGGAGCGACAGGGTGGGGACAGCAAGGTGGTTTTCCTGGGGGTTACCCAGCAGGAGGTGGAGGGTATCCAAACTGGAACCCTAATAATCAGATCCTGAGTCCACGCTATGGTGGAGGCTACGGGTATGGTGGCGGCGGCGGGGGGTTTGGAATGGGAGGCTCGCCGTTTTCCCGGACAGTGCATAACATGGGAATGGGTCCCTCTATGAAATCCAAGGGATTTGGCAGGAACGCAGCCCTGGCAGCAGGAGTTGGAGTGATGGCGGGCATGGCAGTGGGCTACGGCTTGGGGCGTTTCCCACGGCCTCATTTCCATTTCAACAGTCCACAGGAGGAGTACTACTACAATCAGTACATGTACCGCCGCTACGGCAGAGTTTCCACCGATGAAAACGATTTTGGCCGCGACTACCAATTCAAGCCGCCTCCGCAATCGTACGAGAACTACATGGACTCCTGTATGAAGCGGACGGACTTGCTACAGGCGCTCAACTCTCAAGACCACAGAGAGGGCGATGCTCAAACCACCAACCAGGACACAGCAGGGGATACCCTGATCGTTGGCACTGGTGGTGGGGGAGGTGCAGAGGCCCCGTCTACGACAGCTAACAGCTCCACGATCGGGAGCTCCTCAAACGACACGAGGAACGTGTCGTCCACACAGGGGCCACGGAGCCCGGAGCCCATGCTTCCGGCACTTTCTGATGCTAAAGAGGAGGATAACGACGATACGGTGAACATACTGGAGATCGGCTACCCTGAGCTGATAGAGCAGATGAAGGCGCGCCGTTGCGTGGAGCTCTACGTAGTCTACTCTGAGCGCTTCCTAGAGAAACAAACGGGGGAGCTCATCGACACCAAGGCGAGCGGGGTGCTGCAGTGCCCACTGAGCCAGGGGCTGCTGGCCCTCCTCACTGGCTTTGCCCTGCTCCTGGCCAGCCTTCCTGCACTAGCGTGATGCACGAGTCAAGCAACTGCAAGAGAAGAGCTCACACCATCATGTTCCGCAAAGCCCGGAGATTTATAGTACTCAAGGATGACGTCCTGTCACAGCTTCTCCAACCGATCGCCAGTGTGATTTCTGCTGCCATGTCTCCTTTCACGTAGGTCCTTCGGCATTTTGTGTTGCAGTTAAATTTTCACAACCGACTGGAGTCAATGATGACATAAATTATGGAGCAAAATTGCATCACTGGATAAATACTACACAATAAGCGTACGCATGAACATGACTAGACATTACGTAACTAGTCACAAGGTTACCATGGTAAGGGACCAAAATATTAAACAATTTAGGACATTTGATTTCATGGGAAAAACGTTACATAAAATAATTAAATGTTCCCGAGCCAGCTAAGGCTGCATGACACTGGGTAAAATAGGAATTACATTTTTTTTCCATCAGAATTTAGATCATATTTTTCTCTCATGATTCTTGAGATATTAATTTCTCTCTTTATTATTTGCATTACATGTAGTTGGTTCCATCTTCATAAAGACAATGGGACAGTCACATCAACTTTGCAGAAGGAAAAGGCCACGGTCCTGTTTAACTACTTTTCATCTGCAAGAAACACTAAACACGAAACATAAAACTCATCTATTCTTAATTATAACACCTTTAAAATGGTTTTCTACAAATTCATCATTTTCCTAGACAGCTGCAACTTTTGCAAAACATGAGTTACATACTATGCTTTTAACTGCCATTTTTGTCTTTGTATCCAAAACAATTCCACATTTGACCCCTTTTTGATACGAGCTCCACATTATTGCTTAAACTAGGGTTGGAAAAAATGTTCCTCTTTCTCAGTCAACCAGAGAGGTATTCTCTAGGCTAAATCATTTTGTTCATGATTTTGAAGCTTTTTCTTACATCGTATGACACACATTTGTTTTCGGATTTGATCCCTCTTCATGTGTACTGTTAGTCACATGGTGTAACACAGTCCTGTCATTTGTTGATACAGCTTAGGGAGAAAAGGGGAGCGCTTGATTTGATGCTACAGATCTGAGATCTCTCTGCTAATGTTAACACGACACAATCATTATCATGTAAGAATGAGGTTGCATAGAGGTATGAATCGAGATCATGATTTAAAAATGATTAATCGTGCAGCCCTAAGTACCAGCTGCAATGTTATCGGCAAAACTTTAGAACTGAAGGTAATGTATACTGTAAGTTTTTGTAGCATTTTAGGCGTAGGCTGCCGGAAAATAATTCAGAACTGCTAGATCCACATGTTGCTATGGGCATAACACTTTTGCACTTTTTTTTTAATTACTGAATATTATATTTATAAACAATATGCTGAGACAAATAATATATACAAAAGTTCCTAGTGTATGCTGCATGGCAGACCTAGAATCAGGCTTATTCTTTACTGTTTTTGGTATTGTACTATTAATAATGGATTGTTTCACGGATGTTCAGGTAAAAAGAAAAAAACTCCTTCATCATGACACTGGTTCCCAAAGGCAGCTTCATTGTCACTGTAGGCTGGATGTGATCAGACACAAGCAGGGTCCTTTAATGAAACCGACCATGACGTTAAAGGTTCTCTTCTCTAGTGTAATTTTCAGAGTTACAGTAAGACACCAAAAAAAGATGGAATAGAATTAAGTCACAGATTCGTCATATTTGAAGACAAAGTACATTTGTCATTTTTGTGAATCATTATGACTTTGGCTAACCTATTTAGGAATTCTTATACAATGCATGGAGAAGATACATGTGCAGTGTGTATTTAATAGATGTACTTATGTTTATCAGTGAGTCTGTCTCCGTGCACCACATATGGCCTCTCTCTCTCATTATCCCTGGATGTCTGTCGCTTAAGTGCTCTTACTTCTCATACACTCTCCATTTCAAGGATCCTAAAGGCCTGAGGTTCAATACCGTGTCTTATTGCTGTGGCGGAAAGTTTTGACAAAAATGCATTGAAGTCAACGGGAGAGAACGAGGGATGAAAGAGGAGTGCAGGTCAAGATGGTGGTCTGAAGGTGTTGGGCGATGAGGCCTGAGGTTGAGTATCGAGTGTTGTTGCTGTGGCATGAACACTGGCCGAGTAGGAAAACTTTGAATTAGTCATACCCCTTTTCTACAATGTGTCATTTGTACGCAGCTGTTTCATACATGCATTTCATACGTGTATTTCATACATGTCTTGAAGGTGAATGTAGAAGGTGAGAGCAGCCTGTGTGTTTCGCTGTTTCAGTGAAAGTTCAATAACTTCAGTTCTGTATAATCCTCCTATAATCCTTCTAATATAGCGTGACATCTTTTATACACACAAATTTACACACTGAGAGCGGATGGCTGTAGATTTAAAACAATCTCACCTATATATAAGAGGTACCTATATATACTGTAAGAGGTAATGGCAAAATCCCATACTTGTACTTGCAATAGATGCTCCTTAGGATGCCTCTATGTATTGATTCTTTCTACACCCAATTTTGTGTGAACAGACATAAGCTTCTATATTTGATCTGCATTGTCTGAAAGGGCACTGTTGTCTTGTGAACATAATAAAGTTCCTGTGAATTCTACAACTGATTTAATCTTTGGTTTCCTTAAACTGCCAGTAAGTCTGTCACTTGTTTGTGTTTGTATATGTTAAATAAAATTCCCCAAGCATTATTTTCTTCCTCGTAACGCCACTTATTTAAAACTGCCATGGACTGTAGGACTGGAGAATTGGTTTCTTTCTGTCTCTTATTCACATGTTTGTAAGTTGGGGGTGTGGCTGACATTAATCAGGGCTAAGACACTCATTTCACCTGTGCCTTACTACCAATTATGTAAGAGCGTTCTGTCCCCACCCCTGTACCTTGTCATTGCCCATTGCACGACTCGGCACTCCTTTCGTTGTTTCCCCTTGTGCCGATGCTGGAATTTTGTTTTATTTCTTCCTTGCTGTTTTTGAAAACCATTCTCCACTCCAACACTAAAATAAAGGCTGAGTTCCTTCCTTGTTCCTGTGTCATATGGTTCTGTTCATTGTTCCAATAATGAATAATCACTGCAATAGTTTTTACTTAATTATTTCAGTACACCAATTTCACTTTAATGTTGAAATAGATGCTAAAACATAGAATGATTTCATAACTAGAGAAACATGTTTTCAACAAACACTAGCAAAGGCAGCTTATGGTTAAGCTTACTTCAGTGAGCAAGGAACGATTTAGGCTACAGTGTGTAAGAGTAGTCATCAGGGGCGTTGCTAGAGATTTTGGGCCCCATGAAAGCATATCATATTAGGCCCCCCAGTCCAAACCAATCCAGTTATTTTCCTAATCTTGTAGGGCCCCTGTCACTCAGGGGCCCTTGGAATCGTCCTAGCTTTCCTCCCCCTTACGGCGCCCCTGGTAGTCGTAAACGATAATTTGTCTCACTCTTACATGACAATAAGTAAACAGAAAATATAAAACACTGTCATTAATGTCAGCTACAGCAGAGGTGCAGAAAAGGTGTCATGACTGCAAGTTTTCCCAAACTTTGGAAGACCGCGTGCGAGCCTTTTTTGCCGCGTGAGGCTCCGGAGCTCTTCTGGTAGGCGCAACCATGTTGCATGGTTTTTGCAGGGTAGTAGGAGATGTCTCATTAACATTTATGAGAGAAGTGCTACATGATTTGTCAGTGCATGCCTTACAAAATAGTGCGGCACTGCTGGCACCGGAGATATTATACAAAACTATATTGGAATTAAGTCTATAATTGATATAGTTTTAACGGTGCCAGCAGTGAAACAACTAGCCAGCTTATTAGTGGAATAACTTTGTATTGTAAATGAAAACCATGCCGCAGGTCCAATAAATAAAATATTGTAGCTCTTGAGTGGCGAAGAGATTATATCAGGTGGACAGTAAGGTTAAGTTATTAGCGGGCTGTTTTATTGCGCGATTCTTAAAAGGACAGCGTTAACGTGCTCCTGAGGGGATAAAATACTTTCCCTTACAATACGCTACGCGTCAACACTATAATTCCACGTCGACGCATTTTTATAATCGACATCGTCGATTACGTCGAGTAATCGTCCCAGTCTATTTCACGGTAAGATAACGTGAGCTGCCGGGATAGTATAGTTGCCTTAACTGAAAAAAATCATTCCAGTCATCAGAGAAAAAAAGTTAGGCTACTAACGCACTACATCAAAACATTTACATTGCAATAATGTATGGCATTAAATAAATAAACTTGTAACTACGTAATTCAGTAATACAGATAATAAAACCTAACATACCGTTCCAGGGCTGTCAACTTTGGTCAGCTGGTTGGCGTGAGATTTTCGATTTCAGACAAATCCGCACACGCATTTACACCTTTGTGACAGTTTTATTCCCTTGTAAATGGTCTGTAGGGTTCGCAAACTACCCCAACGCTTTTGCTGCAGCTAATTTTAGGTTTATAATGTAATAATATAAATTTGCCGTAAGATTTCTGGTACGAGCGTGAGAGTCCGAAAGCGTGAGTGTCACGCCAGATGCGTGAGAGTTGGCAGCCCTGCTGTTCACATTGGCCTCAAGAACTAATTAGTTAGCGCTTGATTCCCCTGCACTTCCTGTTGTGGCTGAGCGTGCACCTGACGTCAGTTGCTGAGCGTGCAGTGGCTGAGAGTACACGATCTGCAGCCAGACCCTTCTCCCTATTGGCGCGACCGCCGGAACATTACCTACTGGCTCTGTGACACACGATTGACAGCCTCGTTGCCATGGAAATATCTGACAAAAACATATTAATCGTATTAACCGAGTTAACATTCAAAAAGATGTTTTCTTCTCTCAACCAATCAGGATTTGGCAAAGTTCGAAATTAGCAATTAAAAGGAATTCATATTGGTTACAAAGCCAACAAATCTCGCTTCGTGATATGGACCACTGATCAGGAAACCAAACATTTTTCCTTCACTGACCCTAAGGCCATTCATGAATTACATGCTGCGCTGGGGGTACACATCGGGCAGCGCGGCATGTTGGACCGATGCCAGCCATGTAAATAATGTGAACAGTTGTGTGTAATTAATGCTTAGTGCGCTACATTAGATCGTACTGTAATGTCGTGTATAGTGTTTAAGCAGCTGGGGAATAAGGATGGAATAAGGAAGAAGGAATGAGGTGCTTGATGATTCAAAGCAAAACAGTGCTCCCATGTTGAACTTATTTCGTCTTATTTGTGCTGCCACGCGCACACACACAGATTGATTGATAGGTGTCTATAGTTTAACTACAGCCGGGTGTCATCATTTCGCTTTCAGGTCGTTGATAAATGGTTGCTATGTACGAGCCAAGTTATAGTTATACAATAATTTGCCATATATTTATCTGTAACAAAGATACAATTTATCATTGGACCAATTAATCGTTTATTCATCCAAAGTTCTATTTATGTTAAAATTTCATACTTTAGAGAAATATGGAGAACTGATGTAGCGTCCACATGCACCTCACCATGCCTCCGTTGTTAAAACACTACGTTGACTGATTTCAGTAACCTCATTAGGCCTATAACACTGATCTATAGATTCTACCACCCGGTTACCACATAAACTGCAGTGTAATACAAGAAAAGAGTGAATATGTCATCGAAATGACGAGAAAACATTCTTAAATGTGTGCTTTAACCCCTGAATATGAAATTCATAATTTATTTGTATATATTACATTGTGGAGAGCAAATGTCCCCATAATGAGATAAAAACCAGTTATTTTTGGTCCCCACAAGGGGAAACTCAATTTTATAAAAATCTGTGAATGCAAAAGAGAAATGACAGAACAACTAAAAATGCTAAAAGTCTTGTATTTCATGTGGTTAATTATGGTTATGGCTGTCATAGTGTAGGGATCAGGGTTATGCCCAAAGAAATCAATGGAGAGTTTTCACAAATATATATACACCTAATTAATGTATCTCTCTCTCTCTCTCTCTCTCTCTCTCTCTCTCTCTCTCTCTCTCTCTCTCTCTCTGTGTGTGTTTGTATTCTGCATGCTCTCTCTGTATTACAGAGGTTTCCTTCAGTTACCTTGGTCCAAAAACATACCGTTTTGCTGGTTCCTTCCATCCACCCATCTTCTAACATATGGTTGCTAATCATTCACATTATCTGCATTGTACAGTTAATGTTTTACCTTCATCCCATTTTTGAGGGGTTCTCAAATTACTTTACATCCAGTTGCTATTGGATTGATACAACAGAGAGTCAATAGTCATTGAGTAATTCTGAAAAGCTATTTTGCATACCATGATAAAAAAAGAATACGCAAAGAAAATCAACAATCACGTTTTGGGGTAACAGCTTATTATTTGAAATTTTTCTGCATACATATTTGCAAATATATGTAAATATTTACTCAAAGGCGCTCAACTGAGGCAAGATTCTCTGTTCTCAAGAGCCGTGTTGTAACCTTATCTATTACTATATCACTTCTATTGAAACGCGCAGGTTGAGCTCACTGTTTCTCTGCTATGATATGAAAAAAATGAATGTCAAGATGACAGAAATTCTGTTGCATGCACACTAACTATATTATTAACAATATATTGGAGTCATTGACAGACATAATTAGGATTAACTGCAAAGCCTTTTGACCTAATACAATATAACTCTCTGGTAATGTCTGACTAATCTTTACATAGGCAAAGAATTTGCATCATCTCTCACACTAACCAGAAAATCACATTGTTTGACAGAATTCGAAGAGGTGGCTGTTACTCGTAGACTGGTTGATTATGGTACAATGGACTGATGGTGGTAATTCATCTACCTGAACATCACCTTATCACATTTAATCATGTCTTTGTCCCACCTTTAAATTAGGCCACACAGACAACATAAAAATCAAAGTTTCAGTACAAAAGTATTCATAGATTAATACAACATATTTCATTTCTATGAATAGCTCTGTGCAAAAGTTACTCAGAAAATGCAGAATTACTAAATACTAACACAGCATCCATAAATATGTAATCATTCGCAGAAATTAAATAATATTTTCACCAGACTATCCCTATTCATTGTTCCAGCAGGAAGCAGACCAGTGAGGTGATGATGGTGAAGGTGTTGGGCAGGCTGGTGGCAGAGGAGCGCGATCTGACATGGTCTCCTGAAGTCCCATTGTGGAACTCCACGTCATAGGCAATGTCTCCGTGTCGGACCCCCGGGGGATAGTCACCATACCGGTCATATCCATTGTAGCCATAGCCTCCATGGTCATATCGCGGCTGTCCCATTGAACTGAGTCCGCGGCTTAGCATGGCCCCCCCCACAACCCCCGCAGCTGCCGCCCCTGCCATCTTAAGCCCTGTATTGGAGGAGCTTTTGCTGTACGAGGGGAGGGCTCCAGCGCCGTACCCTCCCCCATAACCTGGGCCTTGCATGGGTTGGTAGCGAGCACCCACTGCTCTATTAGCACCCATGCTCCTACCCCTCCAGGCTGTACCACCTCTCTTAGCCTGAACAGGAGGACACAGGACTGCCATCAGCAGTGCCCATGCCCACAGGAGAAAGAGTCTGCGCTGGCCAATCATCTCTGGAGTTAACCTGTAACAACATCCACATGAACATGCAATTGGTTTTTATGTGACAGAACTGTATGTAGACTCTGAAAATGATCTAACACTCTTAGTTTTCCTCAAATACAGTGGATAATCTCCTTCAGAGAACAGAGGTGCCTTGACACTGGAGAAACTTATTACCTTAGTACAGAGGTGGAAAGTTCAGGTTTAGAAAGTACAAATCCAGACCAAGATTTTGTTTTAACCAACCAGTTGAGTACTCTTTGACTGTGACTCTTCATACTCAACTGACTTGATATATTAATATAATCTTACTGATTTAATGGTGTCACACTCAATGTCTGATATTCAGGCTTTTTAAACACATGTGCATCAATTTTCCTAACTATATTGGTTATGAATAAACTTGAAAATGAAAAAACTACACAGTTTTTCAATTACCTGTAAATGATAATGACCATTAATCTAAGTTTAACACTAATAGTCAGTACTGTTATTTACAATTTACACCTGCAGTTTCAACTAGCTAAATTTATTTGAGGATGTAAGAAATGTAATTGGAGAGTATGTTTTGCTGCCTAAACAAATTTGGTTAGCCAGCATGAACATATGAAATGACTTTCAAATTCAGTTCATGATATTGATAGATGACTGAGCTGCTTAATAACAAATCATAGCTTATTGTTGAGTTCAGATGATACTGTTTCTATTTCGAAGAGCTTCTCAGGTTTCATTGTCTGGAATGTTAATGGGTTGACGTAAGAGAAGAATACCAATCATTAATTATTAAGTCATTGCTAACATAAAAAAAAATAGTACTGCAAAGATGATCATTTTTATATAAATACAATCACGTGTTGCTGTAACAATTTATGTTTGACTAAATCATTTTTTTTTGAACTTGCATTTCTATACGGATAAGTGAATACCTGGTTAAGGAGGATGCACTGAGCTGAATTTACTTTATTCTATTAAAGTATGAAACTTAACTCAGTGCTATATTAAAAATGAGACCGTAAAGGACTCACTTGCCAAAGTCTGAAGTGAGAAAAAAATATGGCAACAAGACAGATATTCTGTTAGGATTAGGATTAACTACAAAGTCTTTTGACCTAGTACAATATAAATACCCAATCTGATGATAGACTAAATTTTCCCAAGCTGGATTATTTGTACCATTTTATACACCAAAAAGCTAAGAACCGAGTGAACACATCGTATGAAAGAAGTCAAAGAGACTGGAACTTCTCACATGTCTGTAGACTGGGGCTGATGGTGGTATAGCAGAATGGTAACGGCATTTCATCTAATCACTTCATTCCATTTAATCTTTAAATTCCATATTTTTTCTAAACCTGATCACATGGACATAAATAAAATCAATGTGCGATACAATACATCAATGTAAAATCCTTTTGTTTCTAATAATAATCAAATATAGTTGCTAAATTTTATGTGTCTTAGACAATGAAGACTATGTTATTACTATAATATAATTAATGACACTTAATAATATGCATTACAGTTACAGAAGCAATCGTTCGCGGACACTAAGGAACAGTTCGAATGAAACGTCCTGTTAGGGATTGAAAAGCAATGCCTGTTACCTGCTGTTAGTGCTGCTCCTGCCAGGGATGGTGATGTTCTTTGACTCACCTTTCCCGGTGTAAAAGACGCTGTTTTTGTAGCTGTCTCCCAAAACGTGGTAGCCAATGCCTTGGCAGGGGCTGTGCCAAGCAGCATTACTGATTGCCTGATTACCACCCCCTCTCCCCATAGGGTAGGATTTGACAACAATGAGCTTATTGTCACTGTCCTTTAATAGGCAAAGCCGCATCCCTCCCCCTTCATAGAGACGATGCCTTAATTGTCACTGTACAGGTACCAAGTACAGTGAAATTCAATCTTCACATATAGCTTCATTCTTGAAGTTGAAGCTTGGCATCAGAGTGCAGGATCAGCCATTTATCCTGCACATATTTTTCAGAGTTTAAGGGTCTTGATCAAGGACTAATGGTTTGACTTTGGAAAAAAAATATAGTAATGAGACAGACATTCTGCTGCTTGCACACTAATTTTAAGATAACATATTGGAGTCCTTGACAGACACAATTATGATAAAGCCTTTGACCTAGTACAACATAAATAACCAATCCGATGATAGACTAAATCTTACCCAGCTGGGTCATTTGTACCATCTCATAGACTAGAAAGCTAACAAATTAGCAAACATATCATATAAGAGAAGTCATAAGGACTGGTGTTACTGATATGTCTATAGACTGTGACTGATTATGATATAACAGACTGATACCATCATATTCTTCTAACAGGATATCATTTAATGAGATTTAATCTTTAAATTATTAACATTTTTTAACCAGGTCATACGCCTAGCCCCCAGAGCTACCACCAAAACACATGCACCGCAATCTGATAATACACATAATCCTGTAAAAATAAACAAACAAAATACACAACTAAATCATAGGTATTCTCTATTAAGACATCAGTGAACAATAAGGGAAAATCCAAGATTTTTTTTATTAAATAATCATCTTCCATCAAACAAAGCCAATTTCAGTATGCTGCATACACATTTATAATCAAGAGTTTCCACAAAGATATCCCTGGTCTTTAAACACACATAATGATGATTTCACATTTTAAATGATCCAACTCCAACATAAAGTGGCATGAGATTACATACCAAGTCCACAAAAATACACACATACAACCATTTGAAGCTGTACTGGGATGTCAGACCTTTGAAAAAAATGAACAACACCCTTTTGAAAGATCCCAAAAACGGTAATCTAAGCTAGGATTTAAGCTAGGATTTAAGATAGGATTTTTCAGCCCTGGCACTGAGCGACAAACCTCTGTGCCAATACTTTTGTAGCTGAGCTTCTCATTAAGCTGTGCTAACCTGGTGACTTTGCCGAATCATGTTTAAAATAATGTCACATCAATCACCCTCCTGTAACATGCTAAACTGATTTAGTATTAGTTTAGGAGAATTCAACCTGTCATTATAGAAATCGGCTATATGTGATCATTTAACCATTTTTAGAAAATATTCAATGAGTAGTAAATTTGACTGAAAACAGTTTCCATGTCCTGCCACACACTTCCAGGGCTGTAGTTTTCATCCCCAGTTCAGGTTCCATGCATGTGCAGTTTGCAAGTTCTCCCCATGTTTACCTGTGAATTGTCTCTGACTTGCCCATAATGGTGAAGGCACCCCTACTTCCTGCTCAGGGTTATAGGCTCAGTGTGACCTTCTCCTGGATTAGTGGGCATTGAAAACAGACGCAAGGATGAAACCAGTCCCTTGCTTACTCCACTGTTCAACTGTAATCAAATATAGATTAATAAATGACCAGTTCAAATAACACATTTTTAATTTTTAAAGCCAGAATAACACAATTTCACTATTACCGTTATAAAGTTTGATTTATGTTATTCAACTAAAATAAATGCAGTTCAACATGTCTGGAGTGCTAGATATTACACTGTAATATGGTTTCAATAACCAACAACTCAGTTACAGAGTATTATTTATGAGTTAAACTAAAATAGATACCAAAATATGAACTGATTTGAGAAATGGATATTCAGTCCTGCTTTTGCCCCAAAAAATGCCATCTGGAAGTCTCCCTACATTGTACAAACAGACAAGCACACATATGCTCAGATTTATTCAAATACAAGGAGGTACACAGCCAGAAATGACTTGACATCAGCCTTTCAGGGAATGTGGAAGTACCATTAACTTTCTGTCACTTTCTTCAAGGGAAAGACTTCTTCAGGGAGAGTCCAATCACAGCTGGTAGGTGTGAGAACATGTTAGGAATTGTGCTTTTACAATCTCCTACTCCAGCGGAGGTATGATCACGCACAAACACACAGATGCATGATGCCAATAGATCGAATGTAAGGAGATTTCTGCTAAGAGAGGTAGGGCAAGTCGGAGCTTCACTGCCCTCTTTCAAGACAGTGAGTGAAATACTGAGAAATCCATCTCCTGGGCCGTAGGGAAGCAGTTCAGAGGAAGATTACATTATTCCCACAGCAGAGTAACGGTCTCTGTAAGTGCAAGTTTTCAACATGTTTAATAGGAGAATAAATGAAACTTTAGGTTCAGTGACTCCCAATGCACCACCGGTTCAGTGGCTCAAGCTCAGATCAGCTCCAAAATTTATTGTAACGCCAAGGGCTGTCTTCCAGATGGATGAGCTTGTTGCTTTACTGTCCACAGGAAAAGAACTTGCATTTAACATGATGGGTTTCCTCACTTATCGCTGCATGGGAGCACATTGCGGTTCATAGACATAGTCAGGATGGAATAGGGTTGCAGCCCTCGGATGGAATAGGGTTGCAGCCCTCGGTGTTAGGACTCCTGGTTGTGGGGCCTTGACCGGACAAACTTTTCACATCTTACGAGCTAACGGCCTTTCAAGACATTGGAAAGAAGTCCTGTGTCCCTCAAGGAAGGATCTGGCTGTTGCCCAAGATAACAGACTAGGAGGATAGAGAGCTGGGTTTGGTCATTGATTTGGGTGGAACATCGAGATTGCGACTTTTCTTTCAGCTTAGATTTTGGTTTAGATTTTGACTTTGGATTGGATTCATGGATTTTGGTTTATTTTCCTATGACCCTTTGTTTTGCGTCACTTTTCGTTCATATGATGTTTTGTTCTCCTGTGGTGCCTGTTTTGTTTTGTTGTCCTGGTTTTCTGCAGGGAGCCAGCCGGGAAGATGAGCTCTATGTTTGTTTTTGTTTTATGTAAGTTCTCCAAGGAGTCAGGGAGGTGAGTTGTATGTTTATTTTAGCTTTATATAGCTTTAGTTCATTTGCGTCTCTTGCTACTAAGCCGTGTTTTGTTGGTTGTTTTGGCGTCAACTCACCCTGAAGTCATATGTTATCAAACACCACAAGCATAATTAAGATATTATGTGTTTGTGCTTGTGCAAAATTAATTGTTTAGAAGCACTTGTGCATTGTTTTTGCTTACATCCTAGCAACCCTGGACATACAAGGGTCGTAACATCAGACATGGACATAGGGGAGGCTGGGGAAGTGGGAACGCAAATTAAAACCTGGAAATAATGGGATTTTATGTCCTGTGGGCATTCAAATACAGGTGGTGCCCTCGGGTAAACACTGCAACTGCTTTTCAATAATGCATCTCAGAGTGCTGTACCTAAAAAGGGAATGAATAGAGGTGAACTGTCAATGGAACTAAAACAGCCACACAAATGAAACAGACAACCTATGTGACTAGTATCAACTTTGGCACAGAAACTAGCTTACTGTTATATTTTAGCAAACTGGTGATCGCCCCAAATAAACACAAAGTCAATGACATTCACAGGTAGCTTGTTAAGTCTTTAAAATCCATGAGTAGGTGTACTTAATTTTATGTAGTGCAGTAATTAACGCATTAATACACGGGATGGACAAAATAATGGAAAAACCCGAAGAATATATTAGTGTCAAGGACCAAATAAGGATCAGCATCATATCCTCTGATGTGTAGATCAGGTGACTAGAGAGCCCACAGAAGGAGGAGGACCTCATGGAACTTCACTGGAACTCTTCCTGCATATGTGTCGGGTGGCATTGACCTCACTGTACCTCACACAGGACTTCTGTCACTTGGCAGCACATATTATCACCAGCAATCCCTACTTCCTCATATTTCTCCCTATTTATCTGCTTGTTTGTTTGTTTGCACCTACCATTGTGATTTATATCGATTTTTGGGTAATATCCAATCCCATCTGTCCATGCCCGAGTATCCACACTGTCCTCTTTCCAAATGCACTGCTCACTGAATGTTTGACACTGCGCTGTCCATGCCACCTTGTTCTCTCACTGTATTTATGTCAGCGCTACATGTCCTTCTCAATGTACGTCCCTGTTCCGTGTAGGAATGTATAGCAGAACTGTATCAAATACAACTTCCAGCAAACTGGGTGTTTGGTAATAAATGGTTCAATTCCATTCTTAGAAAAGCACTGTAAAGGAATAGAGTTTACACCGTAGGCTGCAACTGATCCTCTAAAATGGTCTCATATTTCTTGGATGTTATCCAACCATGCAGTGCAATCACTGGACCTAATGATTCCTATGAGATGGCAGCCCAAACCACTGTGGATCTCCCACCACCTCTAACAGTTTGCAGTTGTAAGAAAAAGGGCGAAAGATCATTCTTCCGACCATATTATTTCTTCCCAGTGTTCCAAGATACAGGCTTTGTACTTCTTAAACTAGATATAATGTGTCTGTACAATGGCAAATCTATACAAGCAGTTTCCAGCTTTGCAAAACACGATGTACCGTGAGATTGGGTCACAGAGGAGCTGATTCAGTTCTGTGTTAGTTTTTGAAGCTGTACTCATGGTGTTTAGCAGCTATCCTCTTAAGCATTAGTCTATCTCTGCTGATGCAGTCTGTCCCTATTTGATACATTATATATGGAATGATTAGGCCAATCCCCTCGACAGACTAAACCAGGGGTCTCCAACTCCGGTCGTGGAGAGCTACTATCCAGGCTTCTGATGAGCCACAGTAGTTCTCAGGTAAATACCAGGAGCAGGTGTAGCTCATCAGAAGCCAGGTAGGATAGAAAACTGACTGGATAGTAGCTCTCCAGGACCGGAGTTGGAGACTCTGTAATCTGGGCAATGTTGCTCTGAAAAGCCACATATCAACGTTAACTGTCTGATCCCTCTTACAGCTAAAGTATATTGCTGATTTGCATTCAACCTCATATGAATCATCTTTGTAGCTGCCTTTATAATTGTGATTTTGTGACTTCAATATTAAAACCTTTTTTCATGTGGTGTTTCTATTGTTTTGTCCAGCCCTTGCATATACATACCATGAGATGACTATTGTGAGCACTGGCTGTGGGCAGAAGCCCTACCTGGTCCTAAGTTTCTGCACTTCTCTGTCCTCTTCCTCTTTCAGCTTGGTGATGAAACTCTGCAGAACGGGCATCTCAAATTTGATGTACTGTGCCACCTAGTGGAAAGAATAGTCAGTGCATTTAGTTGGCCAGTCAAATTCCCCATAAGGGTCTCTTGGAAGAGAGCAGGAGGCATATTCAAAGGCCCTTACATCGTAGGTGACTTCTTCCCCGAGGTCCTGCTCCATGAGGAAGATCCGGCTGACCTGTTCACATGGGCCCTCCAGAACTCGAACCGACAGAGGGTGATCCGACCTCTTCAACTTCCCGCGCTCTGAGACAAGCAGACACATATTCTGCTTCATTGCACAGAATGCGTGCGTGCTTGTGCATACTTGCATTTTGGTTTTTCCTGTGCTCTCCTTCCTTCTTGTTAAACCACATCCACACACAGGCTTTTGTATACAGTCGTCCATCGCCACTTCGCGCTTCGACTTTCGCAGTCAATTATACACCTCGGTATTACAATTAAAATTAAAATAACTGTACGTGTGGACTGTAGGCCTATGTATTCCAGCACCCCCGCAAATCCTTCAACGCCAGGTGCAGCCGAATAATAAAGAAATAAAGAATCCTACTTCGCGGAAATTCATTGAACGCGGTAAGAGTCTGGAACGGATTAACTGCGAAAAACGAGGGACGACTGTATTTATAAATAGGCTCATGCCCACTTTGATGCTGTGGTCAAGCACTCAAATTTACATACACGCGGTTAGGAGAAGATGTGCAGCCACATATCCTGCATACATGCACGCTCACCACCGCTGGTGTGGACCAGATAGAGAGCAAAGTCGTCGGGACTGTTCTCGATCTTGAACTTGTTGAGCAGGACCCGGAGAACCTGGGGTGTCTTCATGCAACTGTTGATGCGAACGTTGGTCACCGAGCCGTAGGCGGGGGTGAAGACAGCCGTCTGGGGGGGAGTCGTACCCAAATGAAGTCACAACAACATCCAGACAAGAGAAAGACTTTTTAGTGAGTAGTCAGGATTAGTGTTTGATGGAATACATCGAACAGTGTTACGTATTCAGAACCAGTAACTATTTTGATACAGTTACACGAAAAAAAAGTTTCATGAAACATTTAGAACAGAACGGGGATTAATTGTTACAAGGATAATGATTTTTAGATTAGGTTACTGACTACATTTTTAACAAATATTTTTTAACAGATACTCTTTTAATGTAAACCTCCCAACCCAGCTGGTAGCAGTGGCTGTCAATCTGGAATATATGTTGCGTTACCTTGTGGTTGTAGTAATGGCCGTTGATAGAAAATCTGTTCCGCCTGATTTTCCGCTGGTCACTAGGCGACCGGCGATTGCCCCTCCTAAACACCCCAGCATCACTTTTGGTCCTCAGCAGCTGGGAGGAACTGTCATCATCTTCTCCTGGAAACATGGTGGGGAATAAGCGTTTCGGGGTAGAGAGAGCAGGCCAGGCACCTGATCCCTGGGTAGATATCAAATAATAGGAGAACTGATATGAACAGACATTCTGAGTCGTGGCAAAAAGAGCCCCATACCTGCATTTTCCTCCTTCATCGTGGGGCTGTTCAACTGGTCATCGCACGACGTCACCTCGATGGTAGGGGGCGCCTGCTTGGAGCCATCCTTACTGCTGGCACAGAAAGTGTGTTACGTCAGTCCATTTGGTTTTGTTTTGTCAGATTTGATTTACAGTTTTTCCAACCAGCATGACTGGTACTTCTTCGCTTGGCCCCCAGCCACAGGGGGGAAATGTTGCACGACAGGAATCATATTCCCTCTCTACCCCAGGACGTGGCTGATTGTGACCAGTGCAATGTTCATCAGAGCTGTACTTAAATGATTTATTGCACACTAAATGCAGCTCGTAAAACAATTAAAGGGTGTTGGGTTAACTTGTTACAAAGGCGTAAAAATTTTTGCATTAAAAATGCCAACGGAAAGTATACTGTTTTTAAATCAAGACAGGGGCACTTTAGAACATATGCTTCCGCAATGAACGACCCTCTTATTTCAACTAATTACGAAGCCTGTTTGTTAATCAGCATACGCACGGAGGAAGGCACTTCTGTGGGCGCCTTTAACAATGACTGCTACATCACTGGAGACCTTTATAGTCATTCATGATGGGACCATTCATTCTGGGCCAGAAATAGCTGACCTTTGCTGGTTTTAGCTCCAGCAAAATGAGCACTAACCTCTGTGCGTCCAGGTTGCAACCTGAGTGCCAGGATGTAGAAGAAGGAGGCGGCCTGATCCGCTCGTTGTCATCCTGCATCTGAAGCCTGATTGGCCGCCTCAAACCCCAATAGATGTTGAGCAACCCCTCCACAATCAATTCCCCCTCCTCCTGTAATGACAGTGGCAATAACACTTACAGCCCCCCCCGCTCACACAGCCTGCCTTGTGCTATCAGAAAATACCACCAGAGCTCGAAAGGATCGAACATCTTATGAAAGCATCTACGTTCTCATTTGTTAAGGCACAGAACAGGAACACTCTAATGTCCCTAGTTTCACGTACTGAAAATTCACCTTCACATGCCTCTGTGCACTTGCGCACCCACAAGGGCCCCTGACGTCGGCCCTAAACCCTCAGGGGCTGGTGAATTATTAAACAGAGGCAATGAAGGGTAAATTAAACAGCACCTGATCCCAGTAGTGATGCACTTGTCATTAGATGATGGAGCTGCGGGTGAATGGTTTGAGAGGACTGGTGGGAGGGGGGTGGGGGGGTGTCTCAGTATCATTAAATAGCAAGGTGGGGTCACGTCAGCCTCACCTCTCTGTGTCTGAGCTGAAGGTTCTGCCCCTCGTAGTACAGATTGTACGTCTTCAGGTGTGACAACAATGTGCTCCTGCAGAGGGACACAGATCATTACAGTCAAAAAAATGTAAAAATTGGTATCGTGAAAAACCTTCCATGCCTCAATTTAACAAATAACACTGAACAAATGCACGAAAAGAGCCCCATGCGTGATTACGTCTAATCGTTTGGTTATTTTTTAGCAATAAAGAGACCAACAAGGTAAATGTAACCGAGTATAATATAGATAAAGGGCGTCGCTGTCAGTCCTTACTTGCTGATATATTTGTTTTCCCCGATCTGAACATCTTCTTGCTCGTCGCCCATCCTCACAGAGCTGGAAGAGCATGGGTGAGACTGCGGAGAGGGCAGAGGAGGCAGGGTAAGCGGGGGTGGAGGTGGGGGGGGGGGTGGAGACACACACTCTTTAACTGGTCTCATGCTGCCTTGTGACCCAAGAGAAGCCCCTGCCCCCAACACCATGCACTATGCCTTAAATATCACCAAAAGGGCGCAGCTTGTGACAAGGCAGAAACCCGGAAGCCAAATGGGTATCGACAGGCAAAAAAAAACAACACTATCAACTAACTTTGCACATAGGCAGATTTGTGACTGAGCATTTATAGATAAAGACCTGCATACGTCCATGAGTGCAGAGATAACCACACAGCTCTGGGACAGAAGCTAGTAGATTTTGCTGGTCTTGTTCAGCTGTCAGTGATCCCCAGGAGAAAGCTGTTTAAAGTTCCGGAAGGCAGAGACAGGTGGCGGGCCGATCACCACCGGGCCTCTGGCATCAGCTGTGTGGCAGCCGTCCGGGATCCCAGTCAAGGATCCTGGTACGGAGCAGCTGCCCAGTCCCGTAGAGTCGCCTTCGCAACCAACCCACACGCACAGGAACAGGCTGACACTCAAACAACCAGAAAATGAGGAGCTTACCGTTCAGGAAGGGATCCTACGCATCGGAAAGGGGCCGGAAGCAGGTGCAGCACGGGAAAGGGAGTAAGGGCACGCGGCTGGCAAGGCGGTCCGCGAGAACGCGGTCAAGCCCTGGCGTGGGGGACAGCGGAGGACCCACAGCCCGAACGAGCTCCAGATTTATAAGGACGGACGAGTCACGAAACTGACCCCCCCACTCCCCCCACGACCAACGATGCAGCCCTTCCTCTTGCAATAGCCCACACCGGAAGCCAACACTCAGTGAGACTTCCTCCCTTCTTTTGCAGGCTTGCAGATGTGGCGATATGACAGCCCCACCCCCACAGACTGAACACACACACACACACACACACACACTTGTGGATGAAACAGTACCCCTTCCCCCACCCCCCGTCCCACACACATCCCGCAATAACAAAAGCGGCCGAAGACTCTGATGAACAAAACACATGTGCAGTGAAAGACACTAAACTCGTAGAAAACATACCAGCATGGATCTTATTTCATTCCTGAGCTGCTCTTTGGTGATTTTCATCTGTATCCGCATATCAGACAGACACTCAACCCAGGCGCTATGGAATACTGAACACCGCACCACATCGCACCATTAATAGCTCAACCGATATATGACATAAACCCTCAGTCAGGGTTTTGCAACCAAATGAGTCAGAAAAACATACAAATCGGACTTTTTAGCATTGTTCTGGTGCAGAACTGTGGCCCACATGCAGAGCCAATCAACCGCAGTAGCCTAACAGGGTCAGATAAGCTTTTTTCACAGCGTTCGACTGTCGCTGACCTCGACGAAAATGCCTTGATAGTCAAGAAAACGCTTGAACACAAAGCGAGTGTAGAGAGGAAGATTTCTCATTGGTATCAGAACTGATGAATGAGATGCTTGTCTGGGGGCATGAGGGCGTGTTGGGGGGGGTCTACACCCTGCAGCATGATGGATGGTAGAGGCAGGCCATACTCAATTCTCCTCCCACGTCTCACAGCGCCTGGTCTTCTCCCTGACTTTCCATTCTCTTTTCCCACCGTGTGGAAGCACCCAGGGTCAGTCATCAAAGGTACTAGCATGCAGAAGGAAGTAAAGCTGCAGATGACAGACGGCGGTCACATGACCGGCGCCCCAAAGTAGCATAACGCTCTGGCTCCTGGCAAAACTTTCTGCTGCTTCTGTGTCGCTACAGAGCGTCGACATCATCGCATCTCACAGTCTCTCACCCCCCCCCCCCCCCCCCCCCCCCATGCTAACGTACACACTAATTCTTTTCTCAGTAAGGCACATTTCCGCCGTCTAGTCATTCCCCAAAATCCGTCCCGGTCTGACCCAAACCTGACACGTCAGTCAGCATTCCAGATGAAATTACAGATGTTGGCGGCTTTTACTGGTGGTTGCCCCAGAAATAGCCTCAGCTACAGTCCCCAGAGACAGATTTGTGCTGATTGCTGACTGCCACACCAGAGCCGGCTGGGGCAACACGGCATAGTCATCCTCCTTGGAGATGCAGTCCACCCTTCCTCCTTGTTTTTCCTCCCACGTTGTTTTAATCTCTCCCATCGGCCAGACATTTTTTTTTTTAACCGCTTTACTCACTTGGACTCACATCTTCCTCTCATTCCCTGCTCTGCTGCCCTCAATAACCTACAAACACACAA